TCTGTCCTCCATACCCCCCTACACACACACACACACACACACACACACACACACACACACACACACACACACACACACACACACACACACACACAAACAAACACACACTGACAGTAAGCAGCAGCTGTAGGAAATGTGAAAAGCTTTCATTATGGTTAATTTTGCCATATTTTCTAGTCATATCTACCATTTTACTGCTCGTGTGTGTGTGTGTGTGTGTGTGTGTGTGTGTGTGTGTGTGTGTGTGTGTGTGTGTCTCTCTGGGACAATGCATCAGCTTCACCTGAATATAAGACTGGTGTTTTTGCCTTGAAAGAAGTGGGATCGTCTTATATTTGAGTTTTAGTAATTAACAGGGTCGATGTAATTGTGATGTTCTCTGTATCAGTTCTGAAGATAAAACCGATCATCTAATCGACTTACTGTAAAATCCACTCATTTTGTGAGACTGGCAGTTCCAGGTGGCAAACTCTATCCGTGTGTCTCGGCAACATCTTTTAAAGCTTTTCCATTGCACAGAGATTATCAGGGTGTTTAAGTGACTGTTCAGATCCATCCATTTTCTACCGCTTATCCCGTTGGGGGTCATGGGGGGGCTTGAACCTATCCCAGCATCTTGGGGTGAAGGCAGGGGACACCCTGGACAAGTCGCCAGTTCATAGCAGGGCTGACATATAGAGACGAACAACCATCCACACTCATATTCACACCTACACACAATTTGAAAGTGGCCAATTAACCTAACCCCACTTCTGCATGTTTTTGGGATGTGGGAGGAAACCGGAGAACCCAAAGTAAATCCACGCAGACACAGGGAGAACATGCAGTCTCCGGAAATGCCCCAACCCAGATTCGAACCCAACACCTTCTTGCTGTGAGGCAACAGTGCTAACCACTACATCAAGCCCTCAAAAATAAGCTAACCTGTGATTATATATGTATTAATTTTAGTTAAACTGGGTTATTCCTGTTATGAGCTGCCTGAGGAAACAGAGGCTGCTAGCTTGCTTTGGTCTTTCAGCCAATTAGAGGCTGATCAACTGACCTGTGAAATTAGGAGTGAGGGCAGCCTGAGCACAGAAACACAACCAATAGAACAGTTTAAATGGAGTCATGCTATTCAGCTTACTCTGTGCGCAAACACATGGGTGCTTCATTTACATATAAAATCATCATTTACTTCATTTTACTGTGACAATTTCTTGCATGCTTCCTACATAAGACCAAAAACACAAGAAAAAATCTGCTCCTGAAAGAACAAACTGTCTTATTACAGGGTCAGCATGATAAAATACAAATGATTGCATTTGTATGTAGAGCACCGGCCATACCAACTAAGCTAAACTGGTGATAAACTCCCTGTATGAACTTAATGTGGCTAAGGAAACAGATAATCATTCAGCACTAACAATAAGTAGAGCATGAAAATGAGCCATGATGAGAAAAAGAAACTGCGTGATTATCTTAAAGAGGAAAATTCCTCAGGATTGTGTCGGTTGGCGAGAGGAGGGTCTGGACTCAGATTACAGCTCGGCTTCAGGACTGAACCTGAGCCATCAAAGAGGAAACGCTTCGAATTAATGCTTTCTGTAGGGATAATAATTATCTGATCAATGGATTTATTTAAACCTACAGAGCCATGAATACAGAGTAACATGAAGCTAAACCATTTGACTATCAGAAAGTGACTCAGTCCAGTGATTCAGAGAATAACAGGAAGAAAACTGGGAAGTGTTTGGTATCAGTGATTTAACAAAACAAGAATTTAAACTTCTCTAGGAAATAATAAAAACTGTTGAGCTTAGTAACGTTTCACAGACAGAGTTTAGACGCTAAAGAGGACAGGTTTCCCTCAGTAAGTGGAGACCATAAACAGATGTCACTATCTAAAAGTTATCAGGAAAGAACATGAAGCTTTATGCCAATAACAACAAAAAATATTAAGATTTTAGGGCAGAAAATCATCTAGCTCGATCTTTACCACCAGAGAGCTTATGGTCTAATGTAATAGTGGCCTTGGACCATCAGGATGGTGACCTCTGACCCTTTTTGCAACCCTTTGCATACATGTGCAAAGTTAAAGTTCAAAGTTTAACAAAATCACAGATAACACTTTTAACTGAAGGTGCATTATAAGACACATCCTTCAGATCTATTCTCCCCTTTCTGTGTAATCTTGAATGATTGGTGTTTGAATGATTTGCACAGTTGGTTTCATATTTTTGTTTCATATGTTATAAATAAAAACCTTTGAGTCAGCATGTGATGTGAAGGAGAAGGATGTGAATTCGGAAGTGTATTTGTGATGTGAGACACAAACTGCTCGGAGTTCAGCTGTCAAACGCTGACACCTGCTGATTCAGTCTGTCACAGCTGCTCATTCCTGATTTCTCTGCCTCTATTTTCTTTGTTTCATAATGTCTCTGTTATTCTCACACCGAAACACACCTGGGGTCAGCAGGATTTGAAATGAGCCCGGTCAAATAAAGACTACATTTAATACTCTGAAACTCCTTCACTTCAGCACTTTGTCTCCCTTCAAAAAATATCCATGTAAAGTTGAGTTTCTGTGGCTGCTCACAGAAACTCAACTTTACATGGATATTTTTTCATCACATCTGAATTTTTTCCTAATGGACATAAAGAAATCCTTTTATAGAAGACACCAACAAAATAGGACAAAAAAGGAAATGTTAACCCGTGACTTCTTTTTTTTTTTTTTAAACAAACTTTATTTAATAAAACTTCACAGGAAACGTTTCAGTGCAGAGCGAACACCATGCAGCTACTTATTAAAAATAACACTTTTGAAACATCATATTTATGCAGGCCCTGTTGTCTTCACTGTGATTAAAAAAATGATTCACCTGAAAAAGTTTAAAAATAGGGATAAATTCAGACAGGCAGAGAAGACACAGGTTCATATTTTAAATCTGCAAATTTTTATCCAACAAAGTTAAAGAAGCTCACAGAAAAAACAAAGAAAGAAATACATGAGCAGAGGCAGAGCAGCAAAAATGTCTGATTGTTTAAAGAAAAAAAGTTTCACTTTCACACTCACAGTTTCAGGCTCCTGTTTGCTTAGTGTCCCATTTTTTACTGAAGATTCACAAAATCAGGTTAAATACATACAGAAACTCCTGATAATCGGTTAAATGAACTCAACATGAGAGAGAGTGAGAGAGAGAGAGAAAAACAGGGGCTGTTTTCGAATTTGCCTGCTATACTAGCAGTACGGACTGATTTGCCCAAAATTCAGTATGCAGTATGTAGCAGGCAAACAATTGCAAAATATGCAGTATGCCAAAAATAATTCTGTGTAATTAATTCCAAAAGTTTGTCAACAGCTCCATAGAAATTACTTCTTCCATTTAAGCAAGAAAAGAGGACAACATAACTGATATAACTTTGCAGTACTTACAGCACCGTGATCGACGAGTCATTGCATAGACAGAACATGTTTTGATGGCTGGTACTGGGCTAAAAAAAAAAAAAAAAAAAATCAAATTAAAACATATTTTTTCAGAGAGTAAATAAATGAGCAACACTGTGTCAGTGCAGTTTATTAGGGTACCAATGTACTTTTTCATAACGGAAACCAGTTAAACCGGGTCAAGCATACTACATAATAACGGCCGACTTGCAGTCATACTGCATACTACTATCGAACGCAGTACTCAGTATGCAGTATCTACTGCATACTGCAGTCGGCAGGAGTATGCAGTAGGCCAATTTTAAAACAGCCAGAAGGAGCAGCCACACACTGAAAAAAACAACCCGTATACAGAAATCAACATAAAACAACAAGGCTGGTTTTAAAAAATCTTTCAGGCGTCCGAAAAGTTCTGAACCTTCACTCTGTGGTGAATCTGGTTCTTTAAAATCCAGATCTCTGCAACTGCAGGGGTGAGTCCAAAGTACAGCCAGGGGTGGCCATGCTACAAAGTCTATTTGGCCACCCAAGACACCATGGCAAAATCCTTAACTATGATTGGCCATTTGCTTTGTCAGTGGAGGCCTCAGTTGAAATAATCTGTCGAAAACGCTGTTTGTAGCTTTTTACAACAGATGATTTCAACTGAGGCAAAGAGAAGCACATTTTTTTATATTTATGTTTTCACAAACATTTTTTAATCCTGTTAGATTTGAGTCAAGAGGTCTGCAAAAACAAGACTGTTCACAGGATAACATCTGTATGATACTTTTGAGTGTGATGGAATGTAAGTAGATTATTCCAGATGCTTTTTATTTGTGCATTTTGTGTAGTCAGTTCATCAGACCAATGTTCTCTTCAGCACAGACACCACTGAACTGCTCCTGTTCATCTTCTCTGGAAAATCTTTAAAGGTAAGACATTTCTCAGGAAGTTATGACATAAAAAGCATGTGCAGCTGAGGACAAGTGTTAAAATTGAATAAATTATTAGAATCTTATTTAAAAAAAACTTTAACAAGAATAAACAATTAAAGGGATATTTCAGTAGTTTTAAAGTGGGTTTATATGAGTTACTTAAGAGTTCTATGCTGATCAGTTCAGGCCCTTAAGTGAGAAAAGCTAGGCTACAGTAATCAGCAGACTCTGCCATCAGGGAGCCTATTTATTCTTGGGCTCTTTGTAGACAAATCATACAATAAAACCCATTACATGGTTTGTAAATAACAGTCCTGACTCTGCTCACACAGCAGAAATATAAATTAAGGCATTTCATGTTTATAGCGAAGTTTTATATTTTCTAATAAGGATTTATTCCATCATCTCAGTTTTACACTTTATGACCACCAAAAGACAAAACCATTTCATGCCTTGATGCCTCTTCTTTTATGAGGCCGATTTTTCCTTAAAAACACATACGAATTTTAGTAGCCATTATAAAAAACACTTGACTAACTTGAATGCAACGTGACTTGATGCATTGAAGGACTGATTTAAGAGGTGGTGATCGTGTCTGTTTTGGTTTTTTTTTGATTGTATAACAAGCACCTCCCCCTTTCTCAATGACATCATAGTCCCTCAGTCCTTGAACCAATCACCAGCTGTTGTTGTTTGTGTTTTGCTCCGTGGTTGTTTTGGAGGCAGGTGGGGAGGGTGCAGCCAAAGTCCAGTTTTGGGGTAAAGTCAGGGACTGGGGAAGGTTCAGGGTCAGAATCGGGGTCAGAATCAGGATCAGGGTCAGTGTCAGGAACTGAATGGGGGTCCTGGTTGGAGTCTGGAGCTAAAGGGTGTTGTGTTTCAGGAACATGATCTGATTGGATCTCAGTCCGGTCATGTGACACTTCCTGCATTTCTGTCTCCACTATTAGTTCTGCTCGCCGGTTCTCTACCTGCCCAACAAACCCAGCACACCCTGAGCACCTCCTGCTGTGCTGTAACGCCTCCTCCCTGTACGTGCTCCACCTCCTCATTCTGCCCCTTGCTCTGGGTGGAGCCTGTCTGTCTCTGAGGCTCTGATTGGCTGAGTCTCGCCTGTTCCTGTGGCTCTGATTGGCCCCCTGGCTCTGGTTCTGGGTCCTCTGCACTCTCTGCACGGCCTGGGCAGCGAGATCTGAGTGAGAGGACGTGCTATCAATTAACCTCCGGCCCAAAGCAAGTGGTCTGACGGGCAGCGCCAGCCTCAGTCTGAGCCAGAAGCGGGAGCGTGGAGCCTCTGATCGACTCCCTCGCCAGGTAATGGAGGCGTCAGCAGCTTGTCGGAGCTGAGCCACCTCCACGCAGGGCAGCTTACTAACAGAGCGGTAGACCACAGTGACGATGGAGGCCTGGTGGCCATGTTGAAGGTACAGACCCAGACGACACTCCAACAGGCTGAAGCTCTTTTCGACCAGGAAGTCCGGACTGAGGAGGAAGAGGAGGCGGCGACTCCTCTTCATGGAGAGCAGGAGGGCCTCTGAGAGGTCTGCCACACAGAGTCAGAGACAACAGGCATAAAGTTTCCTTGGTTTGTACGACCACATTTGCCATGCTTTTCAGGAGAAAGCAGAGTAAACGTCAGGAAAACGTGCTTAGTTCTACATGTAAGGGGACAGTCCCCACAGCAGCTGTGGGTTCGAGTCCCGACCATGTGCTGCATGTCCTCCACCCTTTCTCTCTATCTCCCCATATTTCCACACTGTCCTTAGTCTACTTACAGATCACCCAAAGCCTGTCATTACTTCACATAAAATTGCTGTGACTATCCTCAGACCTCAGATCCACTGCAGAGCTAATCATCAGATCTTCATCACAACTTACCAGAGAGGATCACAATCCTTCTACATCAAATTTGGAGGAGCCAAGCCTGTGGTAGCCTAAGCTATGGAGTCCTATAGGACTCTATCAAGGGCCCAATCTTGTCTTTACTGCAATTGCCACCTTTAGGCTCAGATTAATATTCAGATTCACTGATCTTTCCCCCCCAGTACCAAAATCTAAACATCTGAAATCTGAAATCATGAGATCAGGAATTAAGAACAGTTCCGGTCTTTGAAGTGGCTTCTTCTGAGTTACAGAAGTCTGCCTATCCATCTTAAACCTGCTCAGTCTCAGATGTTGCTGAAAACTAATCTCTTCACTGTGGTGACCCTGCCTTTTTCCGTAGTCTGTCTTCCTTGTTGTCCTCTTTTTGTTCTGTTCAGTATAATATTGTTTTGTGGATATTTTATTTAGATTTAATTTCTTGTTGTCTCCTTGGTAAAACAGCACTGTGATCGGTAGGAGTTGTGTTAAATGTACTTTAAATCCGACTCTATGCTGTATTTTTTCAAATGAGCATTACTGGAAAAAATAAACGATTTCACAGATTTCACAAAGAAAAATGACTGTACATACACTGTTATCCTAACTATGTGTTTGAGTGTATGTGGGCAAATGAAATGAAAAATAGTTTCATGAATAATGATTCATTTATTTATAAAAATAAAAGGATGATTGAAATAATACAAAATTAACAGCCTGACAAAGTGCAGGGTTCATGCTTACATCACAAAAATAGTCCTGTCTTGATAAAAATACAACAATAACCAACTTTTTAAAAAGAAAACATGATACAGTTCTTTCAGATTAAAATGGACTAACCATATTCAGATTAACTCTTTGACTTTAACCATTTTTCGAGCGCTGCAGGGTTTACATTAATGTCATGAATCTTCCTCTATGCAGATGGCATGGGACTTTATTGTTCTACAGATGTTTTCTGATTCCTGAGTGATTCTCAGGTTTTATTATCTAACGCCATCTACCAGTCAACATAAGCTGCTTTTTACCACTTGAATTAACCAGTAAATTAAAAAAAAATACTTTTTATTTTGACAGTCTACGACACCTTAAGCGTAGTTTAGCTGATTAGCAGCTCAAAAAAGTTCCTGGTTTATCTCATACTGGTGCCACTATTCAGCCTCTGCCTGAAACTCTCCATCTAAGCTGCTTTTCCACTGATAGGAAGTTAGACAAGGCTGAGGGTGTTACTTTTTACACTGCTTTGTAGACACAAGACGACCCTGACGTCACAGCCTCTACAGGAATCAGCTCATTATGTGCCACATTGACACACATTATCTACAGCTCCATTAGAGGCTGTTTTTATCTTTATTCCAGTTTTGTCTCTGAGCTCCATGAGTTCTGTGAAGATGAACATCTCCAAGTTTCACCAACAACTGGGACTCTGATTCATCTTATCCTGGTCTTTGAGCAAAAACAGCTGAACCAACACAGAGCAGAAATACATTTCAGACGCTGGAGTCTTTGACACAAATAAATGACAGTATGTGCAGCAGATAAAGTGATTTATGGTGATGATGCTGGTATGAAATGAAAAAGGACTCTGATAACTTTATAAAAATGCAGAAATCATTCACGCAAGGACTTTTTCCTTTTGTCTGCAGGTTGAATGTCCGGGGAGAGCGTCTGTGGATTCCAGTTCAAAACCAAACGGAAATTTTCTCAAGTGCTCATCCAGCACAGTCTTTGGTTTCTGAGAGTGTCCTTTTATTAACCCTCCATGTTTTAACCTGTGTTAGTCTTTTGTTTTGCAATAAATAAAATCAAAAGACACCTCCAGCAGAACAGCTAAGAGCATCATCTCATTAAGAAAGGCAGCAGGGTGCCCAGAGGTGGCGTAATTTCTCTCACAGTGAAAATCACACAATCAGGGTCCCACCGGTGATTTGACCTGATCCTGCGAGGTCATGTGACTTCAGTTCATTATTCAGCCGAGCTCTATTATTTAATTACAAACAACACTATTCAGTTTTAAAATGTGGACGTCAGAAAAAAGATTCTACCTCGATAAAAAAATCTCTTTGGTTTCTGAATTTCAGTGAGCTGAAGTATCTTGAAATGCCTTTACCACATTTTATCTCCACACCACTTAAGATTTAATGATCACAGTCCTTCATTTAACACTTTGGAATAAGGCTGAGGCCAGGTGGAAGTAGCTCAAAAACAATAAAACATAATTTGTAAAGTCTCATTTGAACTTGATATCATCACCAATTTTAAATTTCTTAGTGGGAACTCCGGCACATCTTTATTATTCTATTCTAATCATCAGATCATGCCATGGAGCACTGATCGTAACACTTTATGGACCATATCCACATCTCTAAGTCATTATATCTGCATTCATGAGGCTTCAAAACAATACTTGTGTGTTTAAAAGCATTTTAGAGCAAAGTGTAGTTAGCAATGAACTTAATGACTTGTTGGTACGGTCACTAATGTTTCTTCCCTTACTTAAAACTAACAACAGTGTCTTGAATTCTGGGTTTTATGTTACATTATGACTTCATATACAAAGATTTACAGAGACATCTTTCAGTGTATCTCAGGAAGTTATAATTTTTGTGATTCTTGATAAATACTAAGTGCTGCTCAATTATGAAAAAATCACAACAGTTGTTTTTTTTCATGATATTGATATCAGTTTCTCGCTTACTCATTCTACTTATAAAGCTTGGCCTCAATTTTGGTGATAACACTCACTAAATTAAAAGTCAGATATCACTCGTAGTAAAGTATATTTACACTGTGTCATAAAATTGGAAGGATTTGAGCTCTTTTACTGCTTACATTTTATTACAGACTGCAGATCCAACAAATCATTCAATAATCCAAGCTATTATGAAACCCTCATTAGAGCACTGAGACTTTTATTTGATTTTCATTCAGAACGACATCTCTCACTTTTAGACCAGAAGTCGTTAGTTCTTTAGTGCTTGTTTTTGGAAGGGCCTCTCTTAAGGCTGATTCTGTCACTTGGCTGTTACCTGCCTCCTCCTGCTCCACTTCCTGCTCTCCTCTTTCCTCCTCCTGCTCCACTCCCCTCCTCCTGCTCCTCTCCCTGCTCTCCTCTTTCCTCCTCCTACTCCGCTCCCTGCACCTTTCTCTGCTCTCCTCCTCCCTCCTCTTATTCCTCCTCCTGCTCCTCTATCTGCTCTCCCATTTTCTCCTTCTACTCCTCCTGCTCCTTTATCTGCTCTGCTCCTTCCTCCTCTTACTCCTCCTCCTGCTCCTATCTCTGCTCTCCCCTCTCCTTCTTCTCTTCCTCCTGCACCTTTCTCTGCTCTCCTCCCTTCTCCTCTTACTCCTTCTCCTGCTCCTCTCTCTGCTCTCCTCTCTCTGCTCTCCTTTCTCCTCCTCCATCAGCTGTTTTCTTCCTTTGGTATATTTTGGAGAGAAAACATTTGCAAACCCATGAACAAGTCAAATAAAATGTTTAAATGTTTAAAAAAGGAAGATTACTGTTTTTAAACTTTTTTGTCCTTTTGTCTTACACTGAGTTTACTGTCACTAAATATAGCAGTTACGTTTTTATAAATTGTGTAATAGGACCATATTATTGTTTATTACCTGACACAGTGCTGTCTCTTTACTTAAAGCCCCTAAAGTCTGGCTGGAGCCTGTTGTGAGTATTGATCAGGCATCCTTTCATTTGTATAAATGGTAATCTTTTATGATGATAGACTAATTTCTCTATAAATCTTTAAAACTGGATAAAATTATTGCAGCTGTAATGTGTAATGAAAACCAGAATTGAAGAGTAACTGTTGTTATTTAGAGTATAATACATTATAATTCACATTTTAAGAAGGAGAAGGCATTATTTTCACTGCTAACACTTCATAAACATTGCTCTATCTCGTAATACATGATGTAAATAACAATATTTATTATAAATGTGCTTCTTAAATGTCTCTAAAGCTTGAGTTGGAGTCGTGCAGAGGAGCAATATTGAGACCAACCAGCAGCCCCTGCTTCATCTCTGTCACACTGTGGTGTCAGTCACAACGAGGCCCTGCCCACTGTGCATACATAATGAACCTGTTTAGCAGCAGGTCCCACTGCTCTGTGGTGTCTACGCTGCAGAGTTGAAGACTTGAAGCGGCTCTTTGACAGTGTTGCTAATGAGGCCCAACTGCGAGCTCGTGCTGTTCTGACTCAGCAGCCTCATCAGAGCCGCCTCCTTCCCGCCGCCCCCCTCCTCCCTGCTGCTGACCCTCCTCACAGGTAACTCCACCCTCAGCCTCTTCCAGAAATGGGACGTCAGCTCCTTGGACTTGTCACCCTGCCATCGAACCAGCGACAGAGCCACCCGGGCCCTCCTTAGCTCCCGGACCCAGACCTGTCTTTGGACCGGCTTGTACTGGACCAGGATTACCCGCAGATGCCCACCCCGAGCCATGCCGTCGATGCCGGCCTTGAGCTCCAGAAGAGCCTGGGAGCCCTGAGAAGCATAGCCTGGGCTGACAACAACCAGGACGCGGCGACTACGAGCCACGAAACTCAGAGTCTCATCAGTGATGGCTGCAGAGAGAGAGAAGGGTGATGAAGGAGGGATGGAGGATGGAAGGATGGAGTGTGTGTGTGTGTGTGTGTGTGTGTGTGTGTGTGTGTGTGTGTGTGTGTGTGTGGTTTAATCTCACTCAAATGTTCAGTCTGACAGCAGGAAGCAGCAGAAGTGAAAGAAACAACTTCAGGCTGAATAAGCGTTGGCAGCAGGACAGCGTGATTTTCAGGTCTGCGTGTACGTGATTAAGTGAGACTGGAGCATGAACATAACCTTACATTCGCCTCAGATTTAAGATCTATGTGTCCCATAACTGTCCCAGGTTACTCTGCATTCAGCACAATGACAGGTGAATTAGTCTAATAACAAAACATCCAGAACGACAGAGAAATAAAGAAGAGAAAGGATAAGAAGAAGAAGAAGAAGCTCCACCAGGAGGCAGTTACAGCAGCAGCAAATAGAGACAGTATTAAGTGTTTAAGTGTGAGTGTAAGTGTGATGAGCTGGGGCAGTTACTGTTTGATAAGTAGTTATAGCATTAGTAACAGTAGTTAGGGATGTTTTAGTCAGCTGTTGTGGTCCTGATCTCCATCCCATTTTAATGTTAATCTCTTGATGTAAGGTCCTGATCCAGATCTTTAAAATATAGAGCTGCATGCTTTTAACTCTCCATCGAAACAACTTCAAGCTTTCATGAGAAGTTTTTCGTCGTTCATGAAACAGACTTGAATATACAGAGACGTCTCTTTATGACATACAAAGATGCATAAGACCATCAGTGATTGGACCTTCACTCTCTAAGGGGGGCAGAGTCAGACCAGATAACTGACAGGACACTTGAGAAGTCTGTGTTTTTACTCTTTCACAGCAGATTTTTAATGTGGGGAAATGTTGGGCTGTTATTCTGCTGCAGATTGTTTTTAGGTGCCATATTGTTGCACATTAACTCACAGTGTCTGTTCAACTGTTTTCATCTTCTGGTTTGAAATATCTTCACATGTTTGACACTTAAGCTGTGAGGCTGTTCAAACTAATGAAGGAGATTATCATTATCTTCATCTGAGTTAAGTTAGTCGAGTCAAGAAGACTTGGTCACAGCAACCGAGTCACACTCAGTCACAGCTGACATAATGGATCAGGTGAGATGGTTGACTCAGACTGATTCAACAGTTGGGAATGGGATCAGGACCTCCCTGATTGTAGCTCTATACTTCTGCTGGACTGCAGTGTTGCTGTGTTTCTGTACTGCAGTACACTGTGCTGTAGTACAGGTGTGTACTCACTCCCTCCTGGCAGACTGTCTCGGTCAAAGATACACACTGAGTATCCGAGCTCATTCTCCAGAACTTGGCGCAGAGTCGACAGAACAAACTGCTCCTCTTCACTGTTCCTGGCGTAGGAGATGTAGACGTCATACTCCTTATCGTCTGCAAAGACAAAAACATTTGCTCATTAACACACAGATACAGACTGAAGATAGAGGGTGTTTTGTTTCCACATATGCACAGGAAACTCAGTCACACAAATGTCAAAACTCCCCTGATTTTATCACCACAGAAAGTATGAGTTATAAATGAGCGTGCAAAAAACTTCCTGTTGGGTTATTTGTGGTCTGTGCAATCATTTTTCTTTAGAACTTCCAAGTAGCTGAGTGGGTTACGTCCAAGTAACATGACGTAAAACAAACTTGAAACTTCAGAGAGATGAGTTAACAGAACAGGAACCAATAGTAGGTATGAGGGACAAACATAACTTAATATTACGTCTAACAGGTCAGGCTATGTCCGTGTTTGAAACACTTTTTGGGATGATCAGCCTGTACTGTCTACATAAACCCAGAACCACAACTTCAGCCTGTTAGGGACAAAAAAAAAGGAACTTCAGTGGATGCACTTTGATCCACCAAAACCTCTTCTGTAGCCACTAACAGCCTGTTTACCTGCTGCACGCTGAAGAAAGCTCCTCTGACCCTAAGTTATGCTAAACTGAGCCCAGGGTTGGAAACGCAAGAACCCCCCTTTAAAAATAAGGGTGTGGAGTAAAACTTTAACAGCATCTTTTTGAAGTTTCTCTGGCTTGGAGAGCTCACAGCCGTGATGTGGTTGTGTCTCTGAGAGTTAAAAGCACCGTCATTAAAATCTTGGGTTGAAAAGCTTCAGCTGGCAGAAGTTCTCGGCACACCAACACAGTCGCTCTGACTTTTTAGGAGTTAATTGAGTCAATCTGGCAGAGTGACTGGAGAAGTTTCACCTTCCTGATACAAAGTTTTAATAATATAAATGCTCTGACTGCACTCAGACACAAAAAACACTCGTTAAATGGGAGAAATTTAGCACCAGGATGTAAAAAGAGATGGAGGTGAGGAGGCAGAATTTTAGTTACCTGGCAAGAAAGCTCCACTTTTATTTCTAAGCCTCCAGAGAGTTTTTCAATAAACATTACATAAAACAGTTAAATTTGGCCAAAAATGATGTTTGGATATTCCCTCTAAAACAAAAACACAGGTTAGAACGATCTGGACATCTGTTATCTAATCATTTATTTAACACTGAGCTTAGAAACAGACCCTCAATATCAACAGAGAGAGGATGCACATGTCATTGCCTAATATCTTGCTGTTTATTTCTTCATTTTCATCTTTAAACAGCTCAAGTAAAGCAGATCTGTCATATTAAACCTTATCCTGATCAGCTCTGTCATGCTGATCAGTGCTGCATGCATTTCAGGACCCTCTGTTTCCTCTTTGTAACGATCAGCTGCACATTTTCATGAAACGTTTAGGGGAGAACAGAAAAAACCCGGCTAACCAGCTCTAAGCCCTGTTCAGACCTGCAGCAGGTGGATTAGTCAGCTGGGGCAGAGAAATCCTTGTTACTCCTTGTTGGCTGGATGATAATCATGGGGAGTTTTATAGCTTTGAGGCGTCACCTGTCCCTCACCTGTGTATCGTTCATCAGTACCAAACCAGGAGCGATAGAGCAGCAGCAGCTCCAGCCAGAAGACATGATACACCACGAAGAGGAGCAGCATGAGGACCAGGGTCACCCCCAGACCACAACCCAGCTCCACGGATGGCAGCGACACTGAACAGAACACACACACACCAGGAGTTTACACACTGCTCTAATCAAACAGCAGATTTAAAGCTATAGTGCGTGACTTCTATGTGTCTGTAAATTTCCGTTTCACCCAAGCCACTACAAGAGGAGATGACACTATGCTTATTAAGCTGTTCAGCTCCTCTAACAACTCACAGTATTTTTCAGTATTTGTTCTTTTGGTATTTGATGTAGGGGGGCGACATTCCCATGCTGGTGCACAGGAAACAATGCGTTCTGACATCTTGACAATGAGCGCTGCTCGAAGCAACATGGTGGAAAACCCAAAGAAGTGACCGAGAGGTTCAGAAGTGGATCCTACTAAAATGAAAAAGCCTTCCTGTTTGGTAGAAGGTCTGTTGGCGAAGAAAGAGAGTGACAAACGTAGAAGACTAGCGCAGATTCACATTGGCGTCACTTTTCCTTGATGGAGAGCCCTGAGAGAGGAGATTGGACTGAGGTCTGACACTGATGTTGCCTTAATACTACATGTGTTGCTGTTACATGTACTGGACCGAGTACTTTATTCTTTTCTTGGAAATGGTGCTATGAATGTCATGTATTGTTAGCAGCCTGGTGTTAGCCACATTGAGTAACGTTAGCCGAATGAGCAGGAAGTTACAAGGTGTGTCACCTGTGTTGCTGTGTGTAACTTACTCTGGGGAGTCTGTGTACTGTGACAAGTAACTTTAGTAACCTACATGTTGTGTAGTCAGTTACAGTCCTTGTACCGTAATGAGCAGTATGTGGTGAGTCACAAGTGTTACTCTGTGTACCGTGACAAGAAGTAAACATTGTGTGGACAGTTACAGCCCATGTACTGTGGTCCGTGACCAGCAGCATGCGGTGTGTCCCAAGTGTTTCTCAGTGTAACGATGAACAGTACACATTTTGTAGTCAGTGTTACTTTGTGTACTCTGACGAACAGTATGCTGTGTCTAGTGAGTGTTACTGTATGTGTAATGTGCATGTGTCATATTGAGGTGCCGGCCACATCATAACGCAGAAATCCTGTGGGGGGCAACAGAAGTTACGCACTATAGCTTTAAAGGAGCAGTCTGACATTTTTATTTAACCCTCTGTTCTTGTTCACTATTATCCAAAGCTGCATGCTTTTTCTTTTACATAAAAACACATAAAATCAAATATAAGCCTGTTATGATAATAAAACAAAAATATTAATAACAATAATAAAGTCCAGCTTGGCTAGATCTGTCCTTAAGAGGAGAAGAAAACCACTTTCTAGTTCACATGATCATGTGACCGTCCTGCAGAGAGAGCAGGATCCTGATGAACACAGATATATACTGGGTGAGAAACAGATTTTTAGTGGGTTTAATTAATCCTCACCCTCCTCCTTCAGCTGAGCTCTACGGGTCCTGAAGCCTTTGGCGTTCCTCACCGAGCAGTTAAACTCTCGGTTCAGGTCCTGAGACTGGAAGTCTTTGATCACCAGCACGCTCTCCTCAGTCCGGTCCCCAAGGTCGTAACTCTCCTGTCTGTTAAAACACACACTGCTGAGCTCTGTGGTTTGACTGAGACTTGATATTGTTTTGTCATGAGTCTATTTGTTCTCCGCTCTCCATTAGCTGTAGTTTGAGTTCATTCTACTAAAATAAATCTGGATTTTAAAGAAGAGAGGGCCATTCTTTCCTCACCTGTTGATTCTGGAGAATCTGTGGTGGTCGGGGAGCTTGTCCAAGGTCTTCCCATCGACTGTCCACCAAATGTCCCAGGGGGACTCCAGGTAGGGGAAAAGACCTCTGCACTTCAGACGCACCTCTGTGTCTGAAAGAAGGCCAAAACTCAGAGTAAAATCTTTATACTGAGCACAATTGTATTCGTTTTGAATAAAAATAAAAAGATGATGTTTCTGTTCTGACGAAGTTACAGGAATTAGAGTTTGGCTTTGGTTTGTCATTTCTTGTCTTTTGTCATTTTCTGTAATTTTTTTATCTTTTTTTTTGTTTGTTTGTATTAGTAATGAGTCCACGTGTTTGCATCATCTCTTTTGTGGAGGTTTTTATTCCTTTTGTGCTCATTTCATTTTTCTTTTTGGTAGGATAACATATTTTTGGAGCAGACTTTTTCCAGTTTTGAGGTCAAATTTGGTCCCTATTTGGTCATTTTACCTGTTTGTGGTCTTTTTAAATCTCCTTGGCCTTCATTATTCCCTGTGGTTATTATTTCACTCTTTCGTTGTTTTGTGTCTCTTTATAGTTGTAATATTTCTCCTCATGGTCTTCAAATATCTCAGCAGTTCCTCCTTTTATCTCTTTGAGGTCTTTTTGGTCTTTGGTCTGTGTCTAATAGGTCGAAATTTGGTGGTAAAATGTTTCTGTAAACTACTTTTATATACTCCACTGCATTATTTTCTGGTATCTTCATTTCCATGTTGATTTTTATACACACTTCCTGTTAAATTTTATTCCTTAAAGGTTTTTTGTAGCTCTTTGTGGTAGCTCTATTAGATTTGATTTCTATTCAGTCTCCATCTTACAGAAAATAAACACAGACCGGTGGCTGTAATACCAGTGTTCTGACTTCCATCAGCAGTGATAGACCCTGTATGTAACTGTGTGTGTGTGTGTGTGTGTGTGTGTACAGGCTGCATCGTCCTGTCCTGTTTTATGCACGCTCTTCTGCAGCCTTCACTAATTCTGTCCGGACGATTAACTCTCTGAATGTTGAATCTCGTCCGAGTGACTGGGAGGAAAAACCAATTTAAAAGAAGTTGTTGGCAGAGGAGGAGCAGCCTCTTCATCACTGACAGAGCAGCTTTATGAAAGGAGAGAGAGCAGCTGCAGGTGGAAGAGGAGGAGGGTCATAAAAACACAGAGAGGAAGAGACGGTAACTGCTGCAGGACCCGCCTGGATACGCTGATTTACCTAAGGCTGTAAATATACAGGTAACCAGAGTGGAGGTTTCAGATCCTTCATTTTAGTAAAGGTTAACTGAGAATATGATGGCTCCTCCACTGTAGAGTCTCAAATTATGGTTTTCTTCATGTTTCTAATTTTATTTCTTCATGCTGGGTAGCAGCAGGACTCTTCTACTACAGAGCCATGCTGTTGTAATCCCTGTCGTCAGAATGGGATTTGTCAGTGTCTTGCTAAAATAAGGTCTTTCCTGAAAAACTCATTGTCTGGATGTCAGCAGATGTTGCTCCTTAAAATCTATAGATATTGTTCAGCATTAAAGGACCCAATGCAGTTACTTCCACTCCAGAGTCCTGTGTGTTTTTAATGCAGTGCTGCCAGAGGGTCTGAAGATCAGGACCATCCAGTCTTGGTTTTGGTCCTTGTCCCTTTAGTGCAGAGATTTCTTCAGATTGTCTGAGTCTTTTAATGATATTGTGTTGTGTAGATGATGAAATCCACTCGTTCTTTCACATTAGACACTCAGGAACGTTATTCTGAAACTGTTGAGCTATTAGCTCACACAGTCTCTCACACAAGGAAAAAGTTTCTACATTGGTTTTTGTCATATTTTTATTTAAATATCAGATTTAAATATGCTTTTATCACAATTGTAGTCTTTAACTTTTATGGAAATGAGGTTACACAATTATACTGGAACATCCAGTACAATAATATTGTTTTAAACTCCTCTGTGTTGAATACTTGATTCTGATTGGTCAAACCCCCATGACACCAGTCTATCTGTTTGATTTTTTAAATCTGATGTAACATCCTCCAAATACGTATACCCATTTCTCTGACTCATTTTCTTCTAAATTTGCCTGTTGACTTTTGTTTTTAGAAGACATGTAATTAACTGAACACTAAGATAAGCTGCATCCACAGCTGTGTATTTGAAATCTATCCTAACAGGTGTGGAGACGCAGGACTCTATTCTTCCTCTCTGTTTCCGTCAGGGCAGGTAATCTGTCCAAGCACTCGTTAAAAATCACACCATCCTCAGCTGTCTACATGTAGTGAATTAGTCCATAGCTGCTGTAGTGATGGATCAGGAGTTTCTGTTTCACAGAGTCCCTCTCACATCAGGATGGAAGGTGGGGGTTTAAAATCAATAAACAGATCAATAAGAACAGAGCAGGTTTCCTCCTGTATGCTCTACATGGAAAACACCATCAACTGTTTCAGGAAATGTTAGACGGCAGGGGAAAGACGGTTTGTCATTGTTCTGTGACTGAGTTTGAAAACAGAAGCACAGGCAGACCTCCAACACTCAGACAGATGAAGTCTGAGGATAAAGGATTCTCAGACTTGGAGGATAAAGTCATAATAAAATCATTACTAATGAGAATAAAGTCATAGCTAATAGCTAATATTCTAACCTGTTGTTTTAGAGAAGAGTTGTTTAAATGAATGCTGTGGAGCATTTAGATGAATTGCTCTTCAGTAGTTATAGGTTTCAGAAACAAGGAGATACTAAATTCTTTGGCGTTTTAGCATCACATTGTCATGAGTGTCAGGACTTTAAAAAGAGTATACAAGAATGAATCTTTTCTGCAGAAAGAACCAGGCGGACTTGGAGGGAATCGCTGCTTTTGTGGAGGGGGAAATGGCTGTACAGAAGCTACATCCCTCAATGTAGCCATTTATAGCAATAGCATAGGGCTTTAGTTTATCCTTTGAATCTATATGCCATAAGGTGTGGTGCCTCTGCAGGTGTTGGTTGCTGCCGGCATCAGAGACGGACGCGGTGATTGTCGGAGGTCGACTCTCTCTGGATTGCAAATGTTGATTATCAGTTGGATTGTTTCTTGAGAAACCACAAAAGCTCTCTGAATGTCTGAATGGTCCACTGATGCACCCACCGATAACTCTGCAGTTGACCAGCTCCAGCCATTTCCTCCTCCGCAAAGCAGCTTTATGACTTTATTTACTTTACGACTTTATTCTTGTAAATAATGATTTTGTTACGACTTTATTCTTGTCAATAATGACTTTATTCTCGTAAGTTAAGGACTTTAATCTTGAAGTCTTTTTTTTTTTTTTTTTATGTGGCCCTAATATTCCGTTGAACTTATGAAATTTGAATAAGAGAAAAAATCATGTCCATTTTACCTTCGATAGTGTCAAAAAGTGACAAGAATTTTTATTTAAATTTCATAAAAAAAAAAAAAACAGATCTATAACCGAAAGTTCCTGTGGATGAAACTGAGACAGAGATCAGCTGAGTGCCAAAGAAAGTGAGAGAAGAGAGCGAGCACTGCTGAGGAAACAGATCTTTAGATTCAAATCACTGAAACCTTTTTTCACATTTGTGTTGAAATGAAAGACCATTTCTCATCTTTGTTTTAAAACTTTGTATTTCCCTATATTTTCTATCTGCCCCTCATCAACAGTCCTCCCATTATCGTCTTGGTTGTTTACAGTGAATAAGCCCCTCTATGTCTTTTCTAAATCAGCTATTTGATCGATAGAAAATTACCGCAGCCACTCCATCACCACGATGACCGCATCCTTCATCAGCCACCTCTGACTGTCATCTGCTCTGATCTGTGCGTCTGCAGCCTCACAAACACTCAGTGTCACACTTATAACATCTTTTTTTTTTAATATTTTATTGTTTTTTTTTTCATCTTTAACTTTTGCTTTTTTATTATCATTTAAAATATATATATTTGGAGGTTTTTTATGCTCGAACATATTTCCAGCTCTTTTCTTTATTGTTTTCATGCTGTTGGTGTTTATGAGCCTCCATCTATGTTTCTTTATATCAAATCATGTGTCTCATGTTCTGCCCCTTTTGTTTTTAATGGCTGTGAATCACATTTAAATCATATTAGAGGAACTATAGACATACAGCTTGTTTGACTGATTGATTTTAACCCTGAATAACCTCATATTATATGGAAGGACCTACCCTGTTTGACAGTGAAGACCTGGCTCTCTGCGGGCTGCAGGATTGTGGGCTCCTTAGGCACATTGATTGGATCTTAGAGGATAAAGCGGAGCACAGTTAGATAAGAGACATCTCTGTAGCAGCAGTGTTGTGGTGGTAGTGTAGCGGTCTTCGTACACTCACAGACGGCGGTGACGTTGATGCTGCGGGTGAAGTTGAGGGTCTTTCCTTTCTTCTGGTAGTGGACTGTGCAGAAATATAAACCTCTGTACGGTTTGAGCATGTAGTGGAACTGCAGACCGGCTCCTTTCTGCTGCCGGTGTGTGTTCCAGAATGGGTACAGATCACACTGCTAAGATAAAGAGGAGGAGACAGGGAGGCAGGTCAGAACCTTTAAAACCATGCATTCCTCAGTTCTTTCAATCAGATCTGTGACCTCTAGCCTGGGTCTTATTTTTCTTTATCAGTGCTCATTTTAACCTCTCTCTCTCTCTCTCTCACACACACACACACACACACGCACACACACGCACGCAAGTACGCACGCATGCACGCAGACAGGCACGCAGGCAGGCACGCATGCACGCATGCACGCACGCACGCACACAGATTTTTTACCGTGTTCTCTGGTGTCTGGTGATACCAGCTCACAGTCAGCTCGCCATCAGCCATCTTGGCAGCCTCCTGCAGGTCTGGACATTGCAGCATCTTGCCCCCTTGCAGAGGGATGACCACCTGACTTGTTGCACCGATGGCAGGGAGCTTGCAGGCATTTCCACGGATGACCTCCTCACGCGGCAGGACAGTGAGACGCATGGCGATCTTACTGCAAGACGACTTGTTGCTGCAGGGAAAAACAGAAAATGAATCTCACTGCATCTTGAAGCTCTCTGATTGGATGTTTGTTTTAGTGAGGACCCTTTCCATCAGAGGAATAAAAACAAGGTCAGCAGGGTGCAAGAACAGCAAAGACATCACTTTCAGCTCAAAGCATCCCTTACAGAGACAGCAGGATGTGGGTAACAACAAGACGTAAGCAGGTCATTTAAATCTGAATGTAAAACTCAGCAGGATGAGGACTCTCAATATTAACCATTTGTGCAGGTATAAAGGAGAGCGGGGTGTCTGCACTGTTAAACTGTAGGAAAGTGAAGGTCTGAGAGAAAGTTAAGGTGCTCAATTTTCTTGTTTAAGTAGTAAAAATATGTTTAAATCTTCCTGCTGTCATCATTGTCAGAGACTCTCCCTTAAAACCTGCTCTTCAGATAAGACATGTGCAGTGATATTTAGAGGGAAGTCTGATGTGTGCTCTGTGAGTGTGAGCTGACAACACAGATAGTAGAGCAGTCTGGGCACAAAGGAAACACAGGGACTGTTTTCAGTTTGCTCAACAAAAGCTGCATGAAAACCTTTTTCTGTGGATTCTTAAAGAATTGGAGAAAATAAAGATGGTAGGAAGAAACTTGCAGTTTTATCAGGTAACCTGTGGACTATTTTCAGAAAGCAGCGTGTCAGATGTGTTACCATGTGTCCCAGATTAAAGTGATACTCTGAGCAGGTCTGAGAGCACAGACCTCAACCCTGTACTGATTAAATTTGAAGCTCTGTGACCTTTGAACTCCTCTCTGCTGATGAACTGAACCTGTTGGCAAGTGTCACATGCGAGTTTGGAGCGACTCCAGCCACCGGGTCAAAAGTCGGCTCCTGAGTCTTCATCTGAGTAATCGTGGGAGCGATTGGCGGATCTTTAGACGCTCTCAGAGCCACTTTGTCTGATTAAGTGTGGAGATGAGGATCGAAGCGCCGAGAGCAGCAGAGACTGATTTCTATCTGGGTGATCTGCAGAGCTGATCTCTGAGTTGCTGTGTGAAACCGGGTCCTCCACACATCAGGGTCTATTTTTAAACTCACTCATCTTATCAGACAATTTCTTTACTGGACCCCAGTGACTCCAGTCCAGATCTGGATCTCCATTGGCCAGGAAAAACTTAGAGTCTGCCAAAAACTCTGTGGGGAATTATTTATAGTGCTGTTACAAACTGTAAATCTCTACCTTTAGCTGCAGCGCAGACGCCGCTCAGATCTGAGCTTTAGATCTGACAGAATTTAAGGTAGATGGACTATTTTCATCAAAGTCAAAACCCAAAATGGCAACTTATGAGATATCAGAGAAAGACACTACCAAAAATTACAGCTAAAATCAATGAAACAGCTAAACGCTTATGAAACATGTTTTTATATTCGAGTGTCACAAAGAAGCTGAAATACTTCCTCTTAACTAGAAACACTGACAAGACAATGACAAACCACATTCTGACAACAGGGATTACAACAGCATGGCTCTGTAGTAGAAGAGTCCTGCTTATAAACTGGCCTGACTGCAGTCCTGACTTGACACCTACTAAAAATGTGCGCATGTCTCCATCTTTTAGTCTCTGTGAGCATCTCTGTGTTTGCGTCTCTTACCTCAGCATGCAGATGTAGAGTCCAGCATCGGCAGAGGTGGCGGGCTGCAGCCACAGTCGCTCTCGTTCTTTGCTGAGTCTCAGGCTGCAGAGAGAATCAGAGTGTGAGCAAACGTAAATCAGATACGATTCAATCGGAGCGACGGCAGAACAAACTCTAATGTTCAGGGACACTAATCGAGCTGCTCGCCTTCAGAACACCATACATCCAGTGTGAAGGGAGATCGTTTGGCCCACTTCTTCATTAAGTTACTCTGAGAGTCTCAAGCAGCCGAAGGGCCCAGAGACACCACCTCTGCCTCCACCAGAAGTCCATTACACTGAGCCAAGGTTGAGCTGCCAATCTGTCGCTCTCTTCTTCCCTGCCATTGACAAGAATTTTGTCAATCCATGTCACTACGGTATGATAGGTGGCGCTGTGACTAAAATTCCCCAAAACACTCAAAACAATCTGGGATATAATCTGTACACAATGGGTCACAGTTATGAGGTCTGTGTATCTGCATCTACATAGGTTCAGACACAGTGAGATTTCCTATGTAGCAAATCAAAGCTCCGCCCCGGGAGCCTCAGTATGCAGGCCAGACTCTGAGAAATAGAGAGACCGATCGCGGCACAGGCGTGTGCGTTTTGTGGATTGCAATGCTTGTAAGAAAGCTAATTATGATATTAACTTTCATCATGTCCCCTAAAGCCATTAGTGTCCAAGAGCTGAATAGCTCCTATGTTACCTGCCACTTCTACTACACCGGCAATGTTAGGCTGCAAGCTAGCATAAAGAGGAGTGTGCAGAGCAGCGCTGTCTCTGCCCACAACTCAGAGGGGAATTGCTCATGAGCTACTGGAGCTCTGCAGGAGAAAAGCCTTTGAAAATGACACAGAAACCTCCTTTGAACAGTTGATTAAAAAAATATCACATTCCCAAATCCCATTTTTATCGATACCTGTAGCTTTGGAATCTTGTATTCTCAAACTTCAAATTTTCTCCCCTACATCCTAAAACTGGTCTGTTGGATTCAATTTTTTAATGTAAGCTAGTCAGAAAACAAACTATTAGCACAAAATAAGAAATAGTTTTTTCTCATAACTTGATGCCATTGGACCTCCTAGAAAGTAAACGGGAGACAGATTTAAATGAGTAAATCACATACGACACTGAGCACAAAAAAATACAGGGAGATTTTTTGTCTTCCATTTGTCTTAGACATGCTGTCATTCAGTTTAAAATTGTACAATGTCTACACTGGTCTTAAGTTAGACTCTCCAAGATCAATGCTGATATAGACCCCACTTGTGACAGATGCGGGCGAGATCCAGCCACTCTCTTACACATGTTCTGCACTTTGTGGCAGCCCATCTTTGAGACCTTTACTAAGATCTTTGTGAAAAGGCTTGCACCATCTCCAATCATTGTGCTTTTTAGTGTAACCAAGATAGACTCGCATCTAAAGATGTGGGAAAGAATAATGGTGGTTTTCTGCTCTCTGTTAGCTAGGAGACTGATATTATTGAAATGGAAAGACCCAATACTTCCAACATACAGTCATTGGGTTAGGGAAATCATGTACCATTTCAAGTGGGAGAAGATCAGATGCACAATCGGGGGGTTTACTTGAAAATTTTCTAACATTTGGCGGCCTTTCTTAATGTTTGTTGAAGATATGAAGGCAGACAATTTAGTACTGTAAACCTCTGCTGTTGACCTCTGTCATCATCATTATTCTATTTCTTTTTTTTTAAATCTGGCTATGTGAATTCTCTATTGTGAACTATGTATTTCATTCTGTGAATTTTGTAAGTATGGTATTTTTGGGGGGTGGATGGGATTTACGGTCCTGTTCTGTTGGACTTTTGTAAAATTGTAAACCATGATTTGAAGTTAAACAGTTTTAACTTTAAAGTTACCTTTTTGGTATGCTCTGATGTCAGTAGTAGTACATATTTATATACTTGGCTTGTACTGCTTATCTTTTTAAGAGTATATTCTCTTAGAGTTTACTCTCAAAGACAGATGGAAGTATTTACTCACTAACTATACTTAAACCTAAGGCACAAATACATACTTGAGTATATCTTATCTTTATGTATGAGCATAGATTAAATATATTTAGACTTTCAGTATAATTCTTAGTACAAGCCAAGTATACTTAACACTAACTAATTTTAGTATATCTCCGAAAAGTGCATTAAAAAGTCAACTGAAAGCAGACTCAGTTTAAACACAGTATACTTGAAGTCAGTGGTGATTGCTCAAAGACCGCAAGGGAAGCTCAGCTTCCCCTAAAATGAAAAAAAAAGTGGTGAAATATGTACTGCTGTGTGTACATTTCATTGACTTAATATACGCTAAAACACGTTCATCTTCTGTTCAGAATGGGGCAGTGGGCTGGCCCGGACACTCAGCTTCTGCATGATGATTGAATGATTTGACTGAGGCAAAATCCCTTTTTGATTGACAGCGAAAGCAAATCAGTGATTTTTAAGTATAACCATCCATCCAACTGATCACCAGTGACTTCGTCTTTGTTAAAATAAGGACTTGCGTTGTGTTTGGTGACTCTCTTCTGTCACGACAGGGTCACAGATCATTTTCTTGAAAAATGATCTGTGACCCTGTTGTCATACATATAAATATACACATTTATGATGTAGGCCAGGAGAAAAATGAGCTTCCCCTCCTTGAAAGACCAGCAGCCGCCAATGCTTGAAGTACACTTAAACATATTTCTTTTTGGTAAGGGTACATTTACCCTCTACATTGGGTTAATGGTTTAGAATCAACCAATGAGCTTCCTGAGGCTGTACCTGTATTTAATTGGATTCTCCAGGTCCTGACCCTGGGGGGTGTGGTACCAGACAAGGTTGTGTCCGGTACTCTGAGTGGAGGAGTAGTTGTAGACGGAGGGATGAGCAAAAAGAGGACAGGACAGCCAACCAGCATCTCCCTCCACGACTGAGACCGCCCCCTGGTTGAACTCCCCCCAGTCATGGTCACACATGGGCTCTGAAGGTGAGAGATTTAAAGGGTTAGTTCAACAGAAACTCATCTAAACACACAGAAAGCTGTGCATCATCTGCAGAGAAACTCATCCTGTATGGAGGGTTCCCACTTTGAATCCTAGCGGCTGCAATTAACTGCAAGTTTCAGTGACAAAACATTGACCACAAATATTCAAGTTTGCTGTTTTAAATGCTGATTACAAACATTTTACACTATCAAACCACTTTACAGAGAACAACCCATTGTTTAACTTTTCTGAACTTAGAATGACCTAGAAATTGACTTTTATTATCTCCGTACTCTCAGGACATACAGTACACGCATTTCAGCATGCACTGCAGTAACTGGTGTTTAACAACAAACAACCTCCAGCCAAGATTTCCTATCCTGTGGCCTGGATTGTCTCCAGTCAAACTGAGACCTGGAAAGTTCTACCGCAGATTGTTAGCTGACCATCAGAGTACCAACCATGGGAGGTGGAGGTCGGGACAGCGGATTCTGTCTGCTTTTGGTCTCCATACACCTGCTGATACAAAATTAGTTGATACCTCTTACACTGCCAGAACACTTTCATACCAAAGTCAGAGCTCGTGGCAGCTCCATCTATCAAACAACCATCTCCTTTCATGGTTACCGACATAGTTTTCACTGTTTGGTGTCCTGATACAAGTTCATGATTTATTTCTATGGTGAAGTTCTTTTGTATCTTCATGATAGTTATAAAAAAAAGAGCCCCCTCCTCTCTCTCTCTCTCTCTCTCTATCTGGCGGTGGTCCAGGCTGCTGTTGCAGCTCTGATGGAGAGTTTTTATGTGAGAATCAAACAGAGCTTAGTGGATGTCATCGTTAACTGGCCTTGTTAAAGGGACGTTATTACACTTCCATCTCATTACAGGATTCCAGCATAGAGGGCAGCAGCTCCATTAAAACCCTGAAACTCATCTGAGCTGAACACTGTGCAGAAAAATGACAGCAGTCAGGGAGAGGAGGCTGGGCTTTATCGGAGATTAAACTCAATCTGCAGCCTTTATTTGTCACGTCTAAGACATTTATTTCAGTCACAGACAAAATTAAAGAACTTGTATAAAGAACTGACTAAATAATGCAGAGAAAATAAAGATATAAACAGGCTGGACTGTTTTTTTGACCTTTGCTTTCAGGCTGAAAACATCCCAAGACTGTTATTTTTGGTCATCAGGCCGCGAAAACCCTAGAGACAGAATCCAGAGGAATGGACTCAAACTAATCGTCCGAATGCTCCTGTGAGAAGACTGACTGTTCCTAGATTATAGTTTTTCATGCTTGTAACTGCTGTGAAGAGGGAGGTCTTGAGCAAATTCACATTACAGTGAAGGAAAAACTATTTCACTTTTTCAACAGCAAATAGTGACAATGAACAATCCAGCTGACTGATACGCATGGGCAGGGCAAGCTGAACAGAGATATAGCAGGTACCACACTGTCGACAGGGGGTGCCAAAATTGACACGAGCAGAATGTTCTCCCAGAGTTTGTCACTGAAAAGCTGCTGGTCTCACAAAGTGAGTGGATTTTACGGTAAGTTTGTACATCATACCATTCTATTTCTAGAGCTAATATCTCCACCACACAAGCACATAATGCTTTGCTGCACGTGATAGTGATCTGGACTGCTCCTGTCTTCTGATTTCTGTCTTGGTGATTACTGTCTTTGTTATTGCTCATGCTGACTGCCTCTCAAAATGCGATACTGGTTCTGATCTGGAACCAGTTTTCCATTTTCATCCCAAATCATGGTCAGGGTAGATCCGCATCTTCTGGTACTGCAAGTCAAAACTCATATTTCTTTTTAGTGGAGACTGGCAACTTGGAAGGTAGCGTTGTTCTAGTTCTCATTTATTAGAAGGATCCTACTCTTAAAAACATCTTTATATATTACTATTAAAGCAATATCTTATCGTATCTTATCTTTATAGGTACTTTGTCTGTAAACAGGCTGTCAGCAGTACTCTGCAGGCTGCACTCTGGGCACATGTGCTCTGCAGGGCCTCCACTAAAAACCATTTCATAGCTGTTGGCTGAAGTGATTAACAAGAGTAATTCTGAGACTTTGTGTAATTTAAACCTAAGAGCACCACGTTCAATAAAACCACAATTATCCTTTCAGTTATTTAATATCAACCAGTTTCGACCTGGTGGTTACAAAATGTGCCTCATGTTTAGAGGCTTCAGTCTGCCTGCATGTTATTCCCCTCTCTCCCTCAAAGTTCTCTGCTATACTGTCTCTTCAAATCTCCTCAAACATAAACTGCAAAAAAACTCAAATTTCAGCAAGTGTTTTTGTATCGTTTCTTTTAAAAATAGTCTTTTTTTTGGCTAAAAATAGACCTGGCAGGTCCAAGAAAATGCCTTATGTAATGATAGACCAAAGACAAAAAGACCTGAACTGTTTTTAAAGAGAAAAAAATGAATCTGACAATAAAATAGAAAATTACTTTTAAAGTTTCTTGAAATAAGTGTTGAGAGTATTGTTTTTAACTGCACTGGCAGGTGTTTTTAATTTAAACTCTTAAGCAGTATTTTTTTTGGTGTTTATAATCTTGAAAAAATACCTTTTTCTGGACCTGTTGGACTAATGTGGTTTAAAATTAGTCTAATTAGACAAATTAGATTAGATTAGGGACGATTCATAACTGAAAATCTTCTGTGGATTGAAACCTAAATAAAAGCAGAAATGAAACCAATGTTTTCAGCCTTTTCAATTGGATACAGAATATAACATACTCCATAAAACAGCCTATTATGTTTTTAAAGAAAGTATGCATGCACATATAAAACAGAAAAGGCTCTTGTATAGAACCCTGTGGTACGCCTTACACAGTAAAGAGAATGTTTCAAATTTATGCAACCAGAATAAAACAACAAAATGCTAGACTAAGATCATCTAATCCCTGGATATGAGTTTCATTCAACACTAAAAAGTTTGTTGTTTCTTCATAAAAAAATGTGTAGGAATAAGTTAACAAACGGAGACGATTCAGATGGAAGTTAATGTCTCAGAGAGCGCTGCTGTAAAATCATCCAGGGAGGAACTTCAGTTTTACTTCGCAGCCAATCAGCATATATCAGAGTGAAAGGTTTTGAATATTTCTTTGAAGAAACTTTGTTTTGTGGCTGATTACATAATAAAACTCTCGGTTATGATGTCTCTGTGATAGCGCAGTTCTGGATGATTTTTTTTAAGTCACATCTGTCGAGTCCACATGGCAGTGTTTATGAGTGAGCTTCTGGCAGGAAAGATAAAAAATGTCTAATTAATGAACACATTAAAAAACAGAGAGCTGGACATTTTCACTGGAAGAGAAACAGATCATCAAATGATCGCAGATTCATTTTCAGGCAGTTAATTTGACAGTTAAAGCTCTGACTCCGGTTATCTGCCTTTAACTAATCGATCATATCAGAGACACACAGGCTGGTCCAGGTCTTCAGGTCCTCATTTATAATGGATGAGTTAATTAGATGGAGGATGAAGATGATGACTGTTCAATACGTGATAATAAGAGTGATGACTGATGCTGTCTATGTCTCAAAATAAGACTTCCTCACACACTTAAATTAGACCACAGACCATTATCTCATTACACTGATGATTTAGAAGATGTGTCCAATAATCATTACTCCTACAGACCCATATGAGCTCCTAGAGAGTGATGAAAGCGGATACGTGATCTTCAAAACCACTGAGAGAGACCTCTCCTCCAGAAGCTACAAAAAGTCTCAAGATTATTGAGGAACCTGTCCTCATAAACCTGATGGATCTCACTCCCCATTCAAAGAGAGCAGTCCACCAGCAGAGGACCACAGTCCTGGATTTTGAGGTGCTGAGTCTCATCCCAGCTGTTCACACTCATCTGTAAACTGCTCTAATGCCTGCTGGGGTTCCTAGGCTTCAGACGCCAACAAGACCACATCATCTGCAAAGAGCAGAGGTGGAACTCTGAGTGAAAACTGAACACCCTGGAAAATCCACCAGCTGCACCTTGGGATCCTGTCCTTGAAAGCCACAAATATCATCAGTGACATGTGGCAGCCCTGGCAGAGGCCAACACGGACCAAGAACATGTCTGACTTTAGGCCGAGTTTGTGGACACAGCCCTCACAGATCACAGTAATGGCTCCTGAACACCATATTCCTCTCAGGATTCCAACAAGACCCCTGAGGGGCATGCCTGATGGAAGTGCAAACATAACAATTTTCTACGAAGTAAGAGGTCTGCAGCAGGTCAGGGATTAAACTTTACAAAGAGACCAGAGGGCCTTTTTACAGTCCAGAGCCTCAGTTTGAGACTCCTAACTCTAGGACAGTTTCATCCCTTCTGGCTGTTTGGGATCCAACTCTGAACGCTGGATTAATGGAGGCTCTGTGCTCCTCTTGTACGGTGTGTGTGTGTGTGTGTGTGTGTGTGTGTGTGTGTGTGTGTGTGTGTGTGTGTGTGTGTGTGTGTGCGCGTGCGTGTGCGCGTGTGTGTGTGTGTCTGAGTGTGTGTGTTGGTAATTGACCTGTCAGGTTTTACCAGCTGGAGTATTAGTCTTTCTATTAAAACCCTCTCCAACATCCATCCACCTCCTTCTCCTTGGTTCTCCATCCATCCATCTCTTCTAATACCTCCTGCCTCATCCCTCCATCCCCCCAGTTCACCCCGAGTACAGAATCCCACCCCTCTACCTCCTCACACACGATATCCATCCATCTACAGCATCCTGCAGCAGGGCTCATATTCTCAGAGAGGTTTTAAATCCGACCTAAGCTGTTCAGACAAACCAAGAAAAACCACCACAATACTGGTACAAATCACAGTGATGCAGAAATGCAAATGACAGTTTAAATCTTCCATCCTTCCATCCATCCATCTATGCTGCTGTCCATCCATCCATCCAACTATCCATTCATGGGCCTGTAAATGCTCTCTTGCATGGACAATTTCAAAAATCAACTGCTCCCTCTAGAAATGGCTCATATGCACTTTTAAAAACAAATATCACTTTATGTTTCTTCAGTGACTTTTTCCTTTTTCGTAATTAAAAAAAGTGCACTGCTGTCTCACGAATACGAACTTTAGAGCTCTAATAGGATCACAGCCTTTGCAGTTCAACATGACAAGCCTGTGTTGCAGGACTTGGAGCTCTGCTTGTGTTTTGGCAAGCTCTCCCGCAGAGGTGTGGCTCAGGCCCTCTGCTTGGGCTGTGCCATACTTAAAGCTTGCCATTGTGTTTGTCACTGCCAAGCGTAAGTTCTGTCCAAAGCAGTCCAGCCACAGCCAGTTCATTTTTTCACTGCTGCAACGATGTTTGCCCCATTGTTTGTTGTTATACAGGCCAGCTTCTTCCAAAGATCATCAGATGTGCCATGGAGAGCTGCTGCAGAGTCAATGTGTGATTCAGAGACAACCTAATTTTCAAGTCCAGTCTGAGGTCAGAGAACTCAAAGTATGGCTCATGGAAAGAGTCAGATTAACCTCACGTGAGTGGCTGCAGGGAAGTGGTCCACATCAGTGAGGTCACTTTGAACCTCTGCCCTGATGAGCTTTAGAAATCAGACAAGCAACACGAGTCGGAAGTTCAGTGATCCAGCTCCCGCCCTGCTGCAGCAGAGAAGGTCCCTGTGATCCCAGTCCAATAAAAGACCTCAGCGTGAAGGCTGCTGGTAGTGAAAACTCAGGCTCTTCATAATGATCCCGATCGTTTAGCTTTGTGAGGCCTGACCTTCTCTGCTCCTTTAAGAAGCTGGGTCCTTCATAACTGACATGTACTCCTCACCTTGTTGGATAATTTGCTTTTCCTACCTCTGTGATTGAAGGAGACACCGGCAGGAAACAGGCATGCTGATGTTACCTGTTACGGCTAAATTCCACAGGATACGGAACGGCTGCGCTGCGCTCTGCTCCAGAACAGCAGCCTGATCAAATACGCAAGCATTATAATCAATGTGGGTGATTCCACACAATCCGTCCACCATCCAGCTTTGCTGCGGATCCGCTCCGGTGGTCGGATCAGATACGCAAGGGTTTTATTTTTGCCGGACACTGCAGCCATGCAGCACAGCATGAGCAGCAGCAGAAGTTGTATGCAGCATGTATGCGGCTAAAAGTAGCCAAAATTAAGTGGCCAAAATAAAGTCAATACGTTAAACTGTTTTTCACATGTTAATAGGAGAGGCCAAGGTTGTGGAATGTGGGTGTTTATATACACCGCTGATCTCATTCAATGTCTCATGGTGAAACACATGATATCTCGTGAGATCTTGTCCAGTCTCGTGAGAATTATTGGTAATATTGCAAGCGCATCTCCTCCTCTTTCAGCAGCGGATCAGAGCTGGTGGGCGCTGTATGCTTGCGTTTTTGATCTGCCTGCCTTTCCAGAAGAGAGCGGATCTGCATGCGGTGGAATCCCCAGGTTAGAGCTGACAGTTTTTTCAGTTTTAACAGCAGAAGCAGCAGAAATAACCTTCAACGGTCTGTTCAAGAACCCAAACGGTAAAGAGCAGCAAGAGGCCAAATTTTCACAAGTCCATCTTTACTGTAACGAGTCAGATTTAAACGACCCACCTGGGGAAAAAAGACATGCTGCATTGAGTTGCCGTTCCTGCAAATTAATCCCGGTGGTCGTTCATGGTACTGCAACAAGGAATCCATCAGGTCTAATGTTACTCATTAGTTCATATTATTTTAAACGCAGAGGTTAAGATTAACTTCTTAGAACTTAAAAAATAAATCTGCATGGCCCCCTGCTCTAATGTGAACCCACGGCTCATTACACATATTCATACTTACAGAATCCATCCTGCAGTTTGTTAGTGAAATAACCCCAAACCCCCAAAGATTCAGTTTTACATAACCTCATCCACCCACAGCCCATCAACTCCATCCATCTACCTTCTCCTTTCCTCACATCTATCCATCCTCCTCTAAAGCGACCTCCCACTGTCCTCCCCTGCCTCCCCCTCCACCCTCGTCTTCCCCCTCCATACTTAGACAGTGTTACAAATGACCCTCCTCTCCCTGGAACCATCCATTCCTCGCCCCGCGGGACGAGGGCCTCTGCTTTAATTAACCTCGCTTTCTGCAGAGTTGCACCAAATGAAGAGGAAGATTTTTTTACCTTCTGTAGGTTCACAATGTGGGAGGGAGAACATATTATCAGGATCATATTTCATATTTTTATTTCCCATCACCTGGGGGGGGAAACTGCTCACACACATGCAGGAGGCATGAAAGCAGACGATGCTGAAAATGCTACTTTTATAATATCAAGGTCAGGGAGAAGGAGGAGGAGGTGTTTTTATGCTTCTTTAACAGCAGATTTTAGACTAAGCTGCTCTCTTGGCGTGTTCATCAAGCATGATTTCCTTGATGATTTTTGCTCCCAACAGAGTCCAGATTTCAGACTTACCTGCAGGCTCGCTGGACTGACTGACAGCTGGAGTGAGTCCAACCACAGCGATGAAGAAGAAGAGGAGGGAGGAGACAAAGGACGCCCTGAGGAGAGATGGAGAGGGAGTCAGCAGGTGGTATCAAATCATCTCTTTCCTCTTATACTGTTCTGACTCAAAGTTTCCTCACTTGGTGTAAATTAGATTAAAAACTGAATATCAGCTTTTACAGCATCTCAGAGAGAGATTACAGATGTGCTGTTGGAAGAGGGGGAGACGATCTTCAAATCACATTGCTCATTCACAAAGAAACATGAGGGACTAGGGCTGGGCAATAAAACGATAACGATAGATATCAAAAATTAATTTCCCACAATATCAATATAAAACATGGTCAATATGCTTTTTAATAGTCAGCATTCTGCCATGTTTCGGTAGATGAAATGAATAGCCAATGAAAAGGAGAGTTCCTGCGGGTCTGCTTCATGCTGAACCAATCATATGCTGAATTAGAACCGGATAGCAAACAACTGCGTAGTAGCAGACAGCAGCTACACCCAACTATGGCACTTTAACCCAGAAAACAGCCGAACATTCAGTCCGCTTTCTCTTGTGCAAAACGTCTAAGAGACACAAACACCTCACAGATGCAGTAGATAATTGTATTGGAAAAGACATGCTACCAATAAAAACTGTTAAATTTCATTTTTGAAATCATGATATATATCGGTATCGACTTATGTGAAAAAAATGCATCATGACAAACCTTTTCTCATATCGCCCAGCCCTATGAGGGACACAAAAAAAGTAAAGCAAATACTCCAGAAGAAGCAGCTCTGAGCTTCATCCTCTTCCGTGTGACACAGATAAAAATCAAGCATTTCAAACAGGCTCATGAAAATGTGAAGAAAGACTTCCTGCAAAAACTTTCCAAAGTCACACTGACATATCTGTCTGTGGTTTATGAGGTTCAGTTTAGCTTCATTTTGTTTTCTGAAGTAAAGAAGACAACTCTATTCATGTGAGCACTTCTAATGAAATGACAAAGGACTGTTTTAAAGGCCATTCAGCAGCTCTGATCAGATGACGCTGTTTCTGTGTGTAGAAAAAAAGTTCAGAGAGGAAGTCGACAAGTCTCCAAGATCACCACAGAGCTTTGAAAACAGTTTCCTCTGTAACCTGGTTCCCTCTCCACCCCACTCACCCTCTCCTACCCCCCACCATAAATCTGCTGCAGCAGCAGAGTCTGATGGACGAAGGTGGATTAATCTGCTCTTTATAGGAAATGAGATGGAGGGATGATTATGACCTTCACCTCTCTTTTACGTTCTCTCCATCTCTCCGTCTGATGCATTTACTCTCATGTCAAACCAGTTTCTGTTTTTTAGAGAAAGAGAAGAGGAATTTTTTAAAACCCTTTAACTTGTCTTACTGTCTCTTGTTTTTACAATTTTTCAGCTGTCCTGGTCAAGACATCAATTATTATCTAATCTCATTATATTATTGTCATCATGGTTCATCAAGTTTCCAATCATATCATACATTTACTGTAGCAGAGATTCTCATATTAATCATATGTTACATATGTAATACATTTTACGTCATGTCACAGAGAGGTGAACAAGAAGTATTAGACTGCCAGTGAGCTAGCTTTAGCATCCCTCTGAAGGATAATCCAACATTTTAAAACTTCATAATGTTAGAGCTCTTGCCTCTTCAGGTTATTAATTACCAAGACTTATTTATACAGAAACAGCATAAAGGAAATAAGGCAACAAAAACAAAGGAGAGAAAAATATCAAAATAAAACTATTGTTTCAAGAGACAAAGACGCTTCTGTTACAGGGCTGATGATTTTGTCGTTCTATTTTCCAGTTCTCAGTAAAATACTGTTATAATATAGTACAGTTGTGATGTTTCCATGATAATAGTGAGGCAAAAATCTGATGTCACCACAGCCTTAAAGGTGGGGTAGGCAGGATTCTGTTAAAGAAGCATCTTTTTTGTGGTATGTATACAAAAAAGCTTTTAATATCAGTCAATAGCTGTTAGTTATTGATGACATTTGGGAATATACCAATATCGCTGTGTTCTGTAATGTCTCTGTAGTCTAAATTTAACATTTTTTGAGCCGCCCGCTCTTCCTGACTGTAAACAAAGCTGTTCTCCACCTCCCCCAAGCTGGCTGGTTGTGAGGCAGACGCTGCTCCCTCATGTTGTGGGGCAAGTTGTGCACAAGCCCAAACAAAGTTGGTGTGCTACAATATCGGACAGTAGAAACCAACCAGGAAGTACGGAAAAAACAATCAATAAAACAAAGTAAATACTGGAGACTCTGGCGAAATAATGGGCGCTTAAAAAGGAGGTAGACAGGACAAGAGCTAAGACGCTGGGTCAACATCAGCATAAATGATGGGGGATGCTTCGGGATCTTGCGGACCCTGTAACCTTTCTGCTGGACAGGTAAACCACTTAACAAAGTAAGCCAAGTGTCTATAACAGAAGTGTTTCTTGTCAAACGGGACCTGCTGCGTGTTGCAGTGCTGCTAAACTGTTTAGCTCGGGTCCTGGAGTATGTCACTTTAGTTGTAGAAGTTCTGCAAACATTGTGTTTGCTGGTAGTTTGAAGTTTGAAGCATGAAGTTTATTTCGATCTGGTCATATCCATTCAATATATACAGTAAATTACAAGAAAAGAAAAAGAAAACCGGACCGAAAAGGCATAGGCTGAAGCAAAAGCTTATTAACGCCTATCCTTCTTACTAAATCAAAATATTCAAAACATCTTACTCCACACGTTAGATAGAAAACAAAAACAAAACACATCAACAAAACAAAGAATAAAAGATGACTCAGAAGAAAGAAAAAAATAAATAAAAATAATAATAATCAAATTAAATCCAGAATATAAATTAATCCGTAACCTCAATCATTATTTCTATAATTTTCGATCACCTTGCTTTTAAACAACGATTTGAATTTGTGAATAGTCTGACACGTTTTTAATTCATCGTCAAGGGCATTCCATAAATTCACACCTTTAACTGAAGTACACTGTTCTTTGGTCTTGGTTCTAGTTTTTATTTTTTCCATCAAATGTGTCCCACGGAGCTCATACCTACATTCCCTTTTTTTAAACATATTGACAATTTTACACAGCAATGAATTATTATGTACTTTGTACATGGTCTGTGCTATTTTGTAGTCCACCAGGTCCTTAAATTTTAATGCTCTTAATTTAATGAATAATTTATTTGATGGTTCCCTGTAAGTTGAATTGGTGATAATTCGTACTGCTCTTTTTTGCAAGATGAAGATAGGTTGCATATGGGTAGGGTATGCATTTCCCCATATTTCCAGGCCGTAGGTGATATATGGGACTACAATTGAGCAATACAAAATATATAAGGCATACTGGTTCAATAAATCCTTTACCTTGTAAATTATGCCAATTGATTTTGCTAATTTTGATTTAACATGATTTATATGAGTTTTCCAGTTCAGTCTTTGGTCCAACGTGACACCCAAGAATTTTGCTTCTGACACTCTTTCAATTTCTCTATCGTTAATGTTCAGTTTAACATCTGTATATATTTTACGGTTCCCAAATATCATAAATTTTGTTTTACTTGTAGTCTGTTGGCATCTACAGTTGCACCAATGCTTTTTACTTTCACGTTGACTGGGCCCCATTTGTAATCATCAGAAGTATTTATCAGCAACATATCTGAATTTAATTGAAACGATATGAGTGAGCAGAGCATCTGTTTGTGGGTAAGGCTTTCTGGAAAAGAGAGGGAGGGGAGAGGAGGAGCTGAGAGGAAAACTGGTTGGAAGGGGTAGAGCTTACATTCAAGATTTCTCCCAAAAACTGGCTCTTCCACAGATCCTGCCTACCCCATCTTTAATAGTGTCATATTAAGTATTGCATCTAACATCCTGTACGGTAAAGTACTGAGTTTTTATATCATGTAATATCATACAGTATTTTATCATGTTGAGTTGTGTCATACCATCTGATGAAGTTTGTAACCTCTGACTACAGATCCTATTGTATTTGTCATGAAGTGTCTTATTGTTATTCATCATATCCTACAGTACCTTTTGTATTGTATCATGTATCGTATTGTTTGGTGTTTTACAGTAATTTATCGTATCACATCATATCATACTGCAACATACTGTATCATGCCTTTTCATGTTGCATTGTATGATATCACATTGTAATGTATTTTACTACTTGCATTATTTTACTTGCATCAAAAACAGATGAACTCCATTCAAATTATCTACTTTTAAAAAACCTGTGTGCTCCTTGTCTGGCACTAAAAGTCAGAGATGGTTTCATAGACTCCACTTCAGTCACATTTTTAAATTCTCTTCTGAAGTCCAGAGGTCTTTGGGAGGATTTGGAGAGAGAGTTTTCAAAAAGTAAAGAAGAGAGGATGGAGAGAAGCGAAGACAGACAGACGGAGAGAGAATGTGTCATGGTGGACGATCAGGCAGAGCTAGTTGATCCCAGGAGGGACATACAGAGCAGAAGCTGCTCAACAAGCTCATTCATCACACACACACACACACACACACACACACACACACACACACACACACACACACACACACCACAACAGCATATGAGGCTCAATAATGCTGGATGAGCCGTCTGCGTGTGTCTGTGTCAGTTGTTTGTACGGGTGTGTTGAGTACCACAGGTAAGGAGATGACAATTGACCCTCCCCCAAGACCAGCCCCACTGGATTCTGGGTAGTTTATTGGTCTGTTTCAGGAGCTCTCCTATAAACAGTCAGCAGTTTCCCTCTCTGATGATCACTCAGCATCATCACTGACAGCTGCACACTTCATTTACACTTTATTTACAGTCTTCATCATAAACCTGAAAAACGGTGAGAAACCCACCAATCAGAACATTTCTGTGACACTGTTTAATAAAGAGACATTTATTACAGCAGTTTCAGATCAAAATGAATCATAAATCTAAAAAATTATTTCCTAAGATCTGTCAGCGGGTTAACCCCTCTTACATGAAGCTGATCAGGTCTCAGTTTAAAGACCTGTTACCGGTGGAATCTGTACCTGGATTTTTCTGTTTCAGCTGAGGAAAACCTTTCCATCTGCCTCAAATGTCTCACATTTACTGCATCTATTTCAACTAGGTCTCAATTTCACAGTATCTGCCTCTCTAAGGTCTCAGAGTTTGCTCCATCTGTCTGTGCTGGGTCTCAGTTTCACTGTATCTGTTTCAACTAGGACTCTGTCTCTCTGTATCTTTCCCCCTTGGTCCCAGTTTTACTGTATCAGTTTCTAAGGGTCCAAGTTTCTCAAGGTCTCAGAGTAACTGTGTCTGTCTCCTCTGGGTCTCAGTATCCCTGTATCTGTCTCCACAAGGTCTGAATTGCACTGTGTCAGATTCCTCTGGGTCTCTGTTTAACTGTGCCTGCCTTCCCCTGGTCTCAATTTCACCATACCTGTTTCATCTGGGTCGTAGATTTTCTATATCTGTCATTGATGGGTCTCAGATTCACTGTATCCATCATCACATGGTCTGAGTATTACTTTATCCATCTCCACTGGGTCTCAATTCCACTGTATCCATCTCCACAAGGTCTGAGTTGCACTGGATCTGATTCCCCTGGGTCTCAATTTTACTGTGCCCCCCCTTTTCTGGGTCTCACTTTTACTGTACCCATCACCACAGGGTCTGAGTATTAGGGATGGAATAATTCATAAATAGGTGTTTATTTGAATGAAGTTTGGTTTAGCATTATGGACCAATCTCAAGAATTTAGGAAAATCTTCACAAATTCAGCACAGCCTGTGGGCTAGTTCAGACAGGCCATGTGAGTGGCACTGATTTCACATTTGATCTGTCCTCTTTTAACAATCACCCGACAAACTTGTCTTCCTAAGTTTGCACTTCGTTTTTGCATCTGTAAATCCCCAGTCTCTGCCTCTGCCACTGCTGCCATGCATGAATGCTGTTTGAATTTCCAGCCCTGCCACCACCACAGCATCCATCTACAGGCTGGGGATTTGAAATAGTAGCTCATCCCTCCTCAGTTTCTGCATTTACAAAACAAAACTGCAAAAAGTGGTGAGGTTAGAGCCAGGACAATGAAAACCAACAATGTTCAGCTTCTTCAATAAACATTAAAAATTATTACAATGTGGACTGTCTGACTGAAATGGGCTTTTCCTGCACCAGGGTAGCAAATACATTCATCTGAAGAACAGCCTGAGCCTCTCAGAGACACAACAATAAGTATTAGTGGACCAGCTTTAATCAGGAACATTTTGTCCCTAAGATTTAATGAAGTCATTACACCTCATTTCAGTGCAGCAGTCTAAAACAGTCCATTAAAGTGGTTCTGAAACTTGTTGTGCATATTCTTCATTTAGATCCAAACAAATAGAAATGTATTGGTCCTAACCAAGTTAAAAAATCTACTCTAAAGGCTGATATTTTCTAATGCCGATGTCTCATCGAAGACTTGTTTTTTACTTTGTCTTCTTTGAGCAGTTGTTTCCCATCAGAGCGTTTTGTCTTAAGAGCTCATTTTTGACTAATTTTACATGAAAGGAAAACCTTTCCTGAATTTATAATTATTTTGATAGAAGTTTCTGTAAGGAGACATTTTTATTTAAAAGTGTAACTACAACAGGTATTTGATTGTAAGAAGAGAGTAACTTCATCCCTCTGCCTAATGTTTTTATAATCTTTTCATTCATTCAGCTGTCTCATGTTGCTGCTGCTGATGATGAAGATGAAGATGAAGAGGCAGGTGGACTGCAGTGCTTTCTGCTGATCACTGCAGAGTCCCCAAACTGATCTGATTGACGATAATCTGATTATCAGACTGGATCGATGGGGACCACTCATGCTGCTAACTGACAAGCTGGGTGCAGAAAATGTGCTTTAAAATGCTTAATTCTTAATTTTCCTTTATGAATAAACGAATCCAATTACACTTTTTACAAAATTAAAAGAAAATCTCAAATTTAAGGATCTGATGGTGAAATCATTAATTATTCAGCAAGCAACACTACACCCAAACAAATGCCAACTTTTATGACTCCGGCAATGCGTTTGAGTCTGTTGGGATAGCAGGCAAACGCTGGATAAAAGTAATGAATATGAAGACCTTAGAGGAGGCTGATGAAATGTTTGTGAGCCGAAGTGTTGTTTACATAATAATGTTTGATAATCATGTGTCATTTTACTTTCAGTTTGTGTGTATATATGAGATACACACACGAAACAATAAATTGAGATATTTAATCATGAGTATCTGCTACCTGGACTCTCAGTGTGAGTTAACGGAAGACATGGGGGTGTCCTGGGATAACACGGTAGAGATGATCTGTTAAGCTTTCGTTCACATCGACTTTTAGTGAATAAAACCTCAAAATCACATTTAAATTCGATTTTTTTTCCTTGCCCGTTTTACTACAGGTTAGTACCAAACTCCACACACAAAAGAAGAGAATTAAGGAAAACAAACAAAACAGGAAGGTGACTCACATTGACGGCAGGTCTGGCAGGTCTACTCGGTGTTAGTCCGGGAGGGTTGAACCAGCCGGGGCTGCAGATCGGTGCGTCTCCTTAGGCAGTAGGAGATGAACCGGGCAGGAGCCAGAGCGGGGGCGGGGCAGGACCAAGATCGTCCGTGGGACTCTGTGGGGGTATCCCAGGTCTGTCTGTGTTTACTGACGAGCCACAGTCCTGCAACTGACACGCACTAACACACTCACCCCCCGGTTAGCACCGCAGCAACGCGAGCAGCGGGACGCTGATGATTAACGGCCCCGTGTCAGGACTCGATCACAGCTGTAAATCTCCGGGAGTAACGGCGGCGGAGCTCCGGGCTGCGGCCCCGGCTGTCTGGGAAGACTTCCAGCGGCGGGCGGGGAAGCTGTCCGGATAATTAACGAGCACGGGTCAGAGGCACGCGCTAATTAACTTATTTAAACCAACGAAGAAGTGAAGGGACCAAAACAGGGATTTCAGAGTTACAAACTGCCTGAGTGAAGTTTAATCAGACTGTCAGGAGTTCAGCTGAACTTTCTACGTTAAAATATCAGCTCTGAAAAACGACAAAAACTGGACTCAATGCAGCTGTGCGCGATGTCTGTGTGTTTTTTCTGTGACTATATGTAGGAAGTGGAGGCTGACTGTATTCCGGTACTCGCTCCTCCTCCTCCTCTTCCTCACAGACTGTTGCGACATCGATCAGGGTGATTTCCTCACAGCATGGACTATGATCAGACTGTTTACAGACTGACTCTGCAAACAGGCTGATTATGAGCTTTGGCAGCACACTAGGAAGTCCTCAGACCTGTCTGCAATGTTAAAGCTGGACCAAGTTCGTGTTAGAGATCGTGACACTGATGTTTTTAGAGTAAAAGTACAAAAAGAAAAAAAAGTGTTTGGATAAAGATCACCCACAGTATATGCTGCGAGTCTATCACACATACTAATAATAATAATAAAAAAACAGACTTTTATAGATATATAATAGAAATAATTAGCTCTATAAATGTTAGTGTGTGCAACCAGTTAAACAGTAGGAATAAAATATTATAGAAAAAAGCTCTGAGGGTCGAACAGAAAGCTCCGGTAATAAACTTTGATTATGTGCATTTTGGCGCACCCTTGTGTGTAAAATTTAGTCCGGCCCAAATGGACCTTTCAGTAAAACCCTAATGTGTTGTCTCCCCCTAGTGGTGTCAGACTGTTAGTGCAGAATACAACCATGACTCCAGAGGAAATCTTATGAGTGTCAGTCATTAGATGGTGATGGGTTGGGCTGTAATCATAATAATAGCCTTAAATCAAAGAAAAAAGTTTTTTTTTTTTTTTTTTTTTATGTGGAGTTACATTAGGACCAAACTATTGATCCATCAACGAGACATAATTATGAATAAACTGCTGACATTTAAGACTGAAGTCAAAGTTAACAGTAAAAGAATATTGTATTCAAATTTAAAAAGAATTAATTAATCAAAAAAAAAAAAAAAAAACTTTTTCCTTGTCATATCGTTGTATTCCAGCTGGTTTCTGAGCTCTGGTGGACTTTTGATCAAGTTCTGGTTCTCTCCTACTCTGCTATGTTAATGTAAAATCTAAAACTGTAAATTAAATATGTTTTGAAAGAGTAGGTTTGAAATACACCCTGAGAGAGAGAAAGAGATAGAGAGAGATACGGTCATTAAAGATCAGGTCTGAGAGCAGAAAATAGTCATGTGATTAATAAAATACACATGATAGGACTATTGAAAAGTCATGTAATATTGATGAGGAAGTGTGGATTTGATTAAGAATTTAGACATTAATGGATTCAAGTGCAATGCAGAATTAAAAAACCTCGCATGAGTGAAAATAAGACTTTTTAAGGCATTTCAAGGCCTTGACTTTCATAACTCCAACTAAAGACTTTTACAGACTCTTCAATGATCTTCTCATCATTTAAACTTGTCTTCTAAAGTATTTCAGCAACTTTTTGACAGCGGGGACATTTCAGATCGTCCACTTCTCTCTCTCCTCTGTTGGTCCTCATGTCGGTTGATGGTTTCAGCCTCGTTCGGCAGCAGCAGAGTCATGTTTTTGTGTCTCCTCGTTAAAGTTGAATGAGGTGGAGCAGCTCTTAAGACATCAGACGGGCTTGTGAAGTGGAAACCAGCAGCTGAGTGTTTTCATTCTGCGGCAGAGTGGACGGATGCTCTGAGCTTTTAACCTGTCTGATACACTCTGTGTTCACTGCCCTTCAGGAATGAACAGCCATCTTTTAATAAAACACAGAAACACATCAGGAGGAGACTGGTGACCCCACCACAGACTCTGATGGTTTTGGAGCAGGTCTGACTCTGCTGATCCTACAAACACAGACTCTGCATTGAAACTCACACTGATACAGCAACAGATTTTATGATAAGACTGGAGGTCAGGTTAAGGTACAGAAACAGTAGCACTCCATAGTCCATCACCTTTTTTCTCATGTAAGATGTTTGGAGTCAGAATCTAGAGCAGAAACCTGGGAGCCGGACTGTGTACTGTACACGTTACTGACTCTAAGTACTGACTTTGTAGTACAGTAGTGTCTCAGGCAGGTCTTGCTCATAGGGCTGTGGCAGTAAGGACACTTCTCCTGCAGTAACTGAAGGTGGTTTAGAAACCCCAGTATAAACATTAGGCTGTTGCTTAGGTCTGTTTACTAAGAGTTAATTCTTCAGTTGTTTTAACTGTTAACATGGATGTTTGTTTAAAAATGATCATCACCGTCTGTCTCAGATTTAACCAACAGTTTCGCCTCTGACCTAGTGTATGCTTCTGGGTCAGACGGATGGCTGCTGAGGATGAGGATGGAGGACAGAGGCAATACCAGAAATGTCCGCTGTCAAGCAGACTAATTACAGGGCCTGTAGTCCACCCTGTCTCAACGTGGAGGCATGCATTGTAGGCCTCTGCATAGGGTACAAGGCTACACTGACCTACGGACCCAACTTTAAAAAACAGATTCTGGGAGCAGTTCAGGAGCAGAAAAGGTCAGGCCTTATCAGCAGCATTAACGCTGAAGCCTGATTACACCTGAGAAAGAAGAAAAATCTAAATCCTGCCTTCATGGACCACTTGAGCTGGATGGCACAGACTTCATGGATCTTCACAGTGTTTGAATTTAGTCTTTTATTGGACTTGGATTGTGGGGACTGCTGCAGCAGGAAGGAGGTGGATCATCAGATTTATTTTATCATGAAATTTAACCTCTTTTAGTTTGTTTTCAGTGAAACTCATATCGATTTTAATATTTCTGAGGCACTGACTGAATGTCGGTTTCTCCTCCTTAGTGGAAAATGTTTCCATCTCCTCACACAGGCTTGCTGTAATGGTGTCTGTTTGGCATTTGTGTCCGACATTGTCATTCTTGTATTTGATGACTTAAGTAAAAGCTTCACCAACTCTGAAATGTTGGCTGACTGGAGGGGCAGCAGCCTCAACTCGATGGCCTAAACACATCCCCTGAATTCATCAAAATTAACACTCTCTGAGACTTTGTTCTCACAATTCTTATTACTTTACTCTCAACTTCTGATCCATTGTTGTCTGTAAGCAAACGATGGGAGTTAAAACAAGTTAAAGGAACCAACTTTGAGTCTCCTCCTATTGTCCAGCTTACTCTGCCCGGACTCTGATTTGCAGAACCACCTGTTCACGATACATTTTCCCTTATTAAGTTTATTAATGTTCTAGTAAAAGTGAGATAAGTTCATGACCAAGTTCTGGATGTTTCTATGAGGTTGCAGCCATTAAAGAGTCAGGAGTCCAGACCCCAAACCAGGACTTTATCAGAGACTCTTGCTGCGTCCGAACTGCCCGCTCGGATACTACATGCTACTGCTACGTGCTACTGCTAGATCCTACTCCTACATACTAAACACGTTGGCCCAATTCGGACACACTAGACGAGCGGTGGGGAAAGACGACCAAGAAGAAGCCCGTGGTGCATTTTGGGTCAGTAGCATGCCCGTAGGATGCACCGAGACCAACCTACAATGTGGGCGTGTCTAGTATCTGAAGTAGTATCTGAAGTAGCATGCTACTCGCTCCGGTGGCCAATTCGGACATGCTAGATACTACTTCGACTTCTACTTCGACTACTACTTGGCAATTCGGACGCAGCTTCTGTCCCACCCACAATTATTCTGCCCTAAAGCTGAGGTGGCTCGGGATACCTGTTGTAAATATTTAGTTCTTTGATAAAATCTGAATGTTAGATTTAGACACAGACACCTGAGAAAAAAAGAGACCGACACTGAACTTTTATTTCATCCTTTTTTTATTTTCAATCATCTTTTTCATCCTGCTGCGTATTTGCGATGATTTCTCTAATATATGATGCGATATATGAAGGTGTCTCAGAAAAGGTGCAAACATCAGCAAACACAAAGAAAGAGCAAACGCTTCAGGTTCTTTAAAGACGTGTCAACATGGCGGCCGCTCCTCATTGCCTTGCCCCTCTGTCGCTTGGTTATGACATCATCATTTTGAGCATTTTAAGCAACAGCGACAGCGCTCCCCACAGGCCGAGCCTCTTGTAATTTTTGGATTAGGTTTCAGAGAGAGCAGTGGGTCGTCTCGTAGATCTGAGTTCAGATCATTTCACACTTGCCGCGTTTTTATGTACATGGATGAATTTAAGCCTCTGAGTCGACCTGCTGCTCTCTGTTATCACAGACTTTTACTGAAGAGTGTCCTTTCTGTCTCCCCCACTTCTGAGAGCACAGCTTACACACAAATGCTGCCTTCAGCTGACTAAAGAGCTGACAAAAATCATTCTCAGGTCCTCTTTTCAATTCGTGTCCTGAAATTCTGACTTTTGGCAAATTTGTTCAAACTGATAATGGCAATCTTGTCCTGTGGATGCTTTGTCCTACAGTACCTGAATGCATCATCAGGTGGCATCAAGTTTGAGTTAAATTTGGACATTACTGTAGGGTTGATCAGAGTTTGTGCTTTAAAAAAAATACCTCTCATGATTCAGCAGAAAAGATCTGAGAACATTTAAACAAAACTTTGTGTTTGAGTGTTTGAACAAAAATAAGGTCACACAAAGACTCCCCAAATAGGTGAGAACACGTTTAAATTACAGAAACAAACTTTCAGATGTTCTCAGATGTTTCCTGTTCAAGTTAAATTCACCCTTCAGTCAGATCATCATATAAAGCAGCTTTATCAGTCCATAGAGTCCAAACCTGATGCTGTATGATCCCTTCTGCTGACAGTCCGACGGTGCAAACTACAGTTAATCCTTCACAATGAAAGGGTTAAGTTAAAAATGAGCCACATCCTGTAAGATCTCTGACATTAAAGCTGGTGGTGATCTGGAAAATGTCTGATTGGTCTATAGAAATTAAAGTCAGGGTTAGTGACAATTAAAAAACATCCAGAGTAACAGCTAACAACTACAGCAGTAAAAAGGGCAAATTCAAGTTCCAATAATAAAAGCAGCAGCCAAGTAAGACGTTTACAGTGAATATTTGGGAAACTAAAAAAAATACAAACTTATAAAAAAAAAATGTCGCACACCTTTAAAATCAAGCCTAAGTCAGCAGTGATCTTAAAAAATGGATCATACGTTACTTATGATCCCAAAATACAAACACGTCACAAACAAGTGTTCAAAAAACAAACTTAAAAACAAACACGCCCTACTAACGCACCATCTGTCGCTTCTTCTTTCCAAGAAGGAAACACGCCTCACTTACGAACCAAAATAAAGAAAAACATAACTTTCGAATCTAAGAAAACAAACCTATGTGACTTTCATGTCTAAAAAACCATGTCACCTCTGAAAGTACAAACTTACAAACCTTAAAAACAGACAAACGAAAAACAAACCAACGTCACTGAGGGACCTTTAAAACTAACAAAACTAACTTACCAGCCATACTACAAATATCTGTCACACATTAAAGACCAAATGGAAACATACTCCACTAACTTCATTAAACAAACAGATTCTGCCAAAAATAACTTTAAAAACTTAATATTGACAAATCTTGAAAGTTAATTTCTTACAATTACTTAAAAGCAACTTTTGGAAATGATCTGATTTGAATCCCATCAATCACCACCAACTCTGAGTTTCTGCTGAATCCAAAAACTCTCCAGAGATCGAAAAAAGATTTAAGAGGAACCTTTGGCTTCACATTTAGACTTTAATGGTCCTGTTAAAGCTGCTGTATTACGTTTTTAATGTTATGTTTCTATAGTAAAAGCTGTTTCCCTCAGTGTGTTTCCTGTCTGTGATTTTCAGAAGCAGGTTAGACAGGAAGGACGTTCATATCACAACATTCCCTTTGAGTGGTGTGGTGCGTTTACAGACATGTGGACAGCAAAGCATTCACTCATCTTAAACGTTTCACATCTCTCTGGACCAGAGGGAGAAACAGTGGAGAGTGTCTCTGTTCATCTCTACCATCCCCCCCAGTCCAACCCCATACTCCCCAAACTGGAAGACTTTCTCAGAGGCAGTGCGGTGGATTGTGATTGGTTTGTTCCTTCTCTACTCCTCATCAGATCTCTCCGTCCATTATTAATCGAGGACATCCAAAAAAAAAGAGAACTTAGCTACGGTGGTCAGTAAGAGACAGCTTTTATAACCCAACCTCCTCAAACTCCTCTTTTCGTAAACTGGATTCAAAATGGCGGCAGAAGCAGCAAGGTGTTGATAACAGCATGCATCACAGCTCAGCTGTTGGCTAAAATGATTAGAATTTTTAATTCATCATGCACAGATACTTTTATTTTGAAGAGCTTTCATGTTATGTATTTCCTGTGTTGGCTAATGGGAGGTGACTGAGTTTCCCAAAAATCATCTTTGCATTTAATCTCTGCTGCATCGAACCACCAACTGATAACCTGCTCGGACTCTCAAACACTGAAATATTCACAGGAAGACACTTCCTTCTTTTCTTTTGTCCTACAATGAAGCTTTCCGACCAAATAAGTAAGAAAAAACTAATATCTCAAGAAAGACGTCATTTTAGTGCAAGATTATAGTTGTGAGAGAATAATATTGAACTATGACATGAATGAAGTTTTTTCTGAACTTTTCCTAAAAGTCGTAAAGTTAGGTTGATTAAAAACTGACTTCATGTGATTAAGTTATAAAATAAAAAGAATGAAGTTGTAAGGGAATAAAGTCATACTCTTGTGAGAAAGAGATTGTTATTGTAATAAAGTGAGGGCCTGTGTCCATGAATGGCATTTTTAGATTGCTCTAACAGGGCCTATTTTCTGGACAAACTGATGCAGTTCAGTGTTGTCACTGCTCAGTGTACGGAGTGCAAAAGTGTTTTTGTGGCAAACACCAGATGCAGAAGAGCCAAAAACTGCAGTTCCTTGAGTGTACACTTGAGGCTGTCTGCAAAAGCACCAGAGATCACATACACAGAAGCATAGAAGCAAATTTTAAAGCAAAGATAAACACGTTTATAGCTCAGGGCGCCGGTTGAAACCAACTTTAAGGGAAGTAAAAATTTTGGTTCAGGTCTTTGTTTTTTGAGGATAGAAATTACTTTGTTTTTCTTTAATAAAATTTTCTGATTTGCATGTTAAGGGCTACTGCTAATGCCAGGGCACAATTAATTCCCACTGTTTTTATAATAATGTGTGAAGGTGAAGGTTAGCTGGCTGTTTTTAAAAACTGCATAAAAGCAAATAAGAAGCAGATAGAGGTGATTATCACCACCACCAGGATGAGAGCGTAATCCCACACCCGTAACCCCCAATCAGAGGAGCTCTGAATTTAAAATTGTGAGCGCCACCAAAGGAAAAACTGCCACTGGTGGACACAGGGCCTGATTTTCGATTTAAAGCTTTCAGTTAATCCTTTCAAAACCCTTTTAGGCCGTAACAGTTCATGTAGAGCATCTCATGTTTTTCTACTCTGTTAAAAGATTCACAATAAGTTAAAACTAAATCTTTGGCCCATCAGCGCCACCATCAGGACTCTGAGGAGAAAGAGCCGGAAATAAAGTTTATACTAAAAATGGCAGCCTCTTAATAATACAACTTTAACCTCAGAACATCATGTCAAGTCACATAATAATACAACTTTATTCTCCAAATCTACGGCCCTGTCCACAAGAACGCAGATACTTTTGAAAACAGGATCCTCACACATAAAACAAGTTCTGTGAGCAGAAACTTTGAATAACTCCTAACTGTATTATTATGCAGTAAAAGGCAGAAATTTAACAACAGTGCAAAAGTGATGGGAAGTCAAAACAATGGCACAAACACAGGAGCCCCGCCAACTTCTAAAATCTCTCTTAAGGAAAGTTTCTAACTTTGAGAAAACGAAGGCAGTGAGAGAACTCTGAGGAGAGAAATGGAGGTTTTATTTTGAAAGGGCAAAGGAAGTGGAGGTCCATTTGTTGTTTTGTGTAAACAGGAAACGGTTGGATGATTTTGGGAAACTCGGTCAGTAACGGCTGAGGCGAGTAACGGGTCCAAGTGTGAGGAGGAGAAAAGACATGAAGGTTTAAGGGCAGTGAAGCGATTCAGTCTGAACTCCGTCGGTCTGAACAACTCGACCTTGGACTCTAAAAATAATCACATGAAAATGTTATTCTCATCTTTATCTAAAGGGTCATGCAGCTTTTTCTCAAGTTAATGTCTGACAAACTAAAAAGTTGACTGGATTTTGGGAATATGAAATAATTTGGCATTGAAAGAAAAAATTCCAGGTTTGTAAATATGCCGATTGTTTTTCAGGTGTGTGGGTCGATTCGTTCAGACGTGGTCAGAGTCTAACAGCTGTCAGGGCAGTGATTTTTCTCTACAGGAAGCAGGGCAGTGTTAGAAAATGTTACTGAGTCCTCCCATCAGCCAACACCTGAACACAACATGACTAGAGAAAAAAAGGACAGTGATATGTCCACATTTTGGGTCGCACACCTTTGTCAGAAACTCTCTGAAGAGTTTGAGTTTAAGTTTTATACTCGTCACTGATTTCTCATAAAACGTCACTGTCATCTTTGTCTGCAGCTAAAATGTGTTCAGACCAAAAAAGTCACTCGTCTTTTTTTGTTGAAACGAAAACCTCAATACAAATCTGTGTCTGTATTTTTGCGTGGACCTTTGATAGAACTGAGTCACTGATTGGTCTGAACACACCTTTAGAGGCTGAACACATCCTTGTTGTAAGTTTTCTCAAGAGCTAAGACCTGCAGTAACAGTAAGACCAGGATTTTCTCACTGAATGATGCGTAAACTGCTTAAAACTGCTGCAGTTAAGTTTTAAAACCCAATTTTAACATGAAAATATTTAAATTTTTAAACTGTAACATTTGATTCATGAGGAGTCCTTAAAGAGGAATACTTGCTTATTTTACTCACTTATAATTGTTAGCCACTGATAATCAGCTGTTACGCCGATGACATGCTGCTGTTACAAAGATCTCTGTTCACTTATTATAAATCTATTAAAATCCCCCAAAACAGAAACAGGAAGCTGTTGTGAGAAGAACCAATCACAGAGCTGAAGACACTAGTGTAACGCTGACTTAAGGGTACATGGTTTAAAACAACCTGCCTTTTAATCAGTGCACCAATCAGAGGTCAGCGTGGCCAACGAGTCTGCTGAATTGAAAATAAAACCTACAATCGTGTTCAGAGTGAGAGAGTGAGCCTCTAAAACATGCTGAGACATTTAACAGTGTGTTAGCATGAGCTGCAGCACACCGTCACATCACATCAGATCACACGCCGGATCATACCGAGCTGTGAACATGCCCGGACAGAGTGGTAACAGAGTCCGCCCGCCCGTCGGTTCAGTCCTGTTCAGACCGGATCAGAGTTACACAACACAGCTGTTAGTGTCTCCATAAATCATTTAAAGCCCCAAACGGCTGTGGGGGCGTCTTTTGGAATATACATCATGCGATATTTCTGCCTGCACCTTCTTCTCTCTGTCCAGGAAACACTAAACTTTGCTCCTGATCGGACCCTGAACACAGCACCAAGACAGAACTTGGAGGAAGTCTTTTACTCTGTGCTCTCTGCAGCATTTTATCATTCAGATTCCTGCTCCTCACACACAGCTGCAGCTCCAGCTTCATTTCTACAGACCTATCCTGCAGAGAGATCATCTTATGTTTCTCTATTGGTGTACGACCCCCCCCCCCCCCCATAAATGAATGTCACTGTATCTCTTTGTGAATTTAAACCCTCCTTTTGCTGCCCTGGGTTTTGTCTCTCAGGCTGCCAAGTAGACTCAGCTGCACGGCAGGCATGAATCTGTTCAGACAAAAAGTGGATTTCCATCCAGTTACTTGAAAGTGTTTGACTTTGCAATATTATTTGTCAGTCCGTCTCCATGACAAAGCAAACAACTGAGTTTGAATGAAGGTTACTTTTATCATATTAACGAACATAACTAGAGAAAGTAGAATTCCAAAAACATGTTTGTCAACGTAAACCAAGAATTACAAATCAATCAATCAACAATATAAACTGTATATTGTTTGAAGTCCCTGAGGTGCCAGGTCAAGAAAAAAAGTGAATAATCTGTGGAAACAGGTTTTGTCACCCATCTGCACAGATTTGCACCTCTTTGCATCACAGGTTACAAATCCATGCACGCAAATAATCAAAACATAGCATATACATGATTCACTGTAAGCAAAACTCTGCATATTTGCAAACTGTGTGCACAGCTTTGAATGTTTGCTTTTAGTCTTCTTGACCTGGTATCTCCAAAATGTCAGGTTTTTAACCTAAAGCTCCAATGAGTAACTTTCATTTTGTTTTGATTTTGGCACTTCCTGTGGATAACCTTTGTTCTCTTATTCTCTGCTTAAGTAGAAATATTTCCAAATGAATAAGTTTCACTCATCATGGATTTCTGCTGCAGAAAAACTGAAAGAAAAAGTCTTTTGCAGGTGTGCTGTTGGAGACGGTATGATTCCGACCTCCCACAGGCACTAAAAACAACAAACACAAACGATCAGTCCTGTTGCTGACAGTTTGGTTTGCTTTCGTATCATGAGGCACGACTGTAAATGTCATGATGTTTCATAACAAGCAACAGGAGCATTAATTAAATAATATAACCATAGTTAGGCGATAGTTAAGCGATAGTTAGGCAATAGTTAAGTGATAGTTAAGCTCAGCAGTTAAATCATGTGCGCCCTTTATGACTGCAAACCTTAAATCTGGTCATTTCTCTGTCATCTACTCTATCGTCTTAAAAGAGAAGTGCTTTCCTTATTCAAGTTTTTTACACACTAATGACAGATACGATAGCTATCTTCTAGTTTTATTGCAATGACTGTTCCACACCAGCAGGTGGCAGCATGTAGCGTCGTACGTGTGTTTTTCCAACTTTTTTCTGGCACCATGACGGCAGCTTTGTAAATCAGAGGAAGCACTAGTTTCAAGATCTATTTTATATAACACTCAACTTAACGCAGAACCTCATGATACTGATGCCTGCAGACAAAACTCAGGGCTGAAATAAGAAACTCAGTGTCTTCTGTGTTGTTTGGTTTGAATAATCATAGGCTGATTCATCAGCTTGTTTTTTTAAAGTTTACCTGATTATTTCTGTATTTTTCTCTCTCCAGATCAGTTTCGTTGAAATGAAGTGAAGCAGTTTCCATCTTTGGAGGAAGGAAATCAATGTAAACGTGACTGATAATTGAAGCGGTGCAAGGGTGTGAAGTTTAGGTAATTCATACAAACACCAGCATGCTTCTGTAGAAACGAATCTGCGTCTGGAAGCTTCTAGAAACCAGCAGGTCTTTGAATCCGAACATGAGCTGATCCGGTCGGTCCAAACAGAACAGGAGTCTTTAAGTTTCCCTCTGAAGCTTTTTATCGGCAGTGTCTGCAACAAAACCTGACGTCTCCCCCACCTGAAAATAAACGAGAGGAACAAACGAGACGGGGCAGCTGAAGAAGACAACGTAAGATCTCTTCAGGACAGCACAGAGAGGAAGAGGAAGAAGAAGCGCAGCGTGAAGAAAGTGCGAGAGTTTTTGCATTCATTAGGGGATGAAAAGGTGAAATTTCTACATGGCTTAAAGCTTCAGAGTTCTCAGCGCACGCTCAGCTCGGGAAAACACTTAGTCATCATCGTGACCGCCATGATGATGATGATTACGAAGAAGCAATGAAGAGTAGGTGTGCTAGCCTCCGGGCGCCGTACCAGCAGGGCTTTTTGCATAAAATGTAAATCATCATCATCAACGTCCTGATCATTTTCAAACAAGCCCCTCCCCCTCGCCCTCCCCCGTAAGATTTAAAATATTTCAACATGAGCAAGAAGATTTTTTTTAGCTTCTTTTTTTCTTTGTTTTTGTTGTTGTCACCGTCGTTGTTGTCGTGGCGGTTGTTGTTGTCGTTGGTGTGGTTGTAGTTGAACAGAGGGAGTGTTAAAATGGGAGTTCTCCTCCTCCTCCTGGCCTGTGGGGGGCGCTGCAGGCTATGATCCGTCCTGCTCTGTGCAGTCCTCCTGCTGCTCCCTCAGGGCCTCCCGGCTCTCCGCTCGGTCCCCACCGTCCAGCGTCGGGCTCCGTGAGGATTTCTGCAGCTTCTCCTCAAGCTCGTGCAGCGACGGCTCCTTATACATGCAGACTGCAGAGGGGGGGAGGCAGAGGGGGGATGGGGGATAACACCAAAGTTACATGTGATTCAAACACTTTAAGGATTCTTGAAGATTAGAGGTTCAAACTGTCATCAGTGGAGTTCAGCCCCCCATGAGTCCACCACTGTGGTCTCAGCATGCTGCATTTTAATATTTTCATATCATATATGAGCAGCTTTGTGTATAAAAGCGATATTTATTTAATATAAAAGTGAGTCATGGTGTGAGTAGGGCTGGGCGATATGGGAAAAATTTTATTACAATATATTTTTTTATATTCGTTGATATTGATGTATATCAGGATATAAAAACTGAAATTTAACAGTGCTTATTAGTAGCGTGTCTTTTGCAATACAATAAGCTACTACATCTGTGAGGTCTTACTGTCTCTTCGACATTTTGTCGTAAGGCGTCGCGCTAGACAAAGCGGACTGAATAGTCGGCTGTTTCGGCTGCACAGGCGCCATGGGCTCCTCAAAAAGATTTGAGGTTTTCCCTGACTTCGGGAGAACATGTACTCGACATGATTTGCAGTGCACACTACTCTGCTTCATGTCCAACCTCAAAAAAACAAAATATCTCCACACCACCGACGCTTTCGTGCCAGTGTTGTTGACGGTGCCATCATCTGTTGAGCCTTCACCTGCATTTTTTCCAGGGGTAGCACTCTTTTTTTTTTTTCTCACCGACAGTGCTGCTAGCTTCATGTGTTTAGGTGCTATGGTTGCGTGTAGCTGCAGCGTGCTACTACGCAGTTGTTTGCTTCTTGGTTCTAATTCAGCACGATTGGTTCAGGGTGAAGCGGGCCCAGAGCAACTCCCCTTTTCATTGGCTATTTGTATAGTCTACCAAAACATGGCAGAATGACGACTACCGAAAAGCATATTGACCATGCTTTATATTGATATTGAGGGAAGTTGATTTTTGATTTATATCGTCATCATTTTATCGCCCAGCCCTAAGTGTGAGTATAGAAAATATGTAAATGCAGGTTTGTGGTATATTATCAGAAATAACTGAAGTTTGGCTGAGAACGCTCACAGATGTGACGACTTCAGGACTCTCTGTTTTCACTCATGGCCTTTGTGATTCACCCTGTGACCTTGATTTTGAAATGACTGACACGATAAAAAACTTGAAAAATACATGACTATAAAAACGTGTGCAGGACTGTGATTGAGGAAAAGAAGGAGATGAGGGAGGTGAAGAAAACTACAAAGGAGGAGGAGGGGTGAGGATGAAGGGAAGGACAGAGGTGGGGGGTGAGGAAGGTGATAGTGGTCAGGTATCTTTAAATAAAGACGGGGGAGGGGGTGAAAGCAGAGAGGGAGCTTCATGTTTCCTGTTCATCGTCCGTCTGTGATATTAGAGCTTCACGGTGACCTGCAGGACGACCTGCTTCACCTCGCCACTCTTCTTCTTCACCTCACACCTGACTGATGGAGGACTGAAACACCCCCACAATCAGCCAGAGTCCCATTCCAAAAGTATCACCATCTCCAAAAGCTGCTCATATTGTTAAAGGCACAAATTCACATTGGCTACATCAAGTTGCTTTTCTGCTAATCCAAATTTTACAGAGTGTTAATTTTACACAGGTGTGTGTGTGTGTGTGTGTGTGTGTGTGTGTCTGACCTTCGATGGGTCTGGGGACGAAGTGCGAGCAAGGTTTGGTCTTCTTCACTCGGTTTCCCTTCATGATAACTCCATCCTTGTTGAGACCCAGAAACCAGGCCCGGCCTGACTCGTGCTGCCGGTACAGCGTGGACGAGTAGATGACATAGTAGTTCTCGAACACTGACTCCTTAAACTTACACTCTGCTGTAAATATATCCTGACACACACAGACACACAGACACACACACAGACACACACACAGACACACACACACACACACACACACACACACACACACACACGTATTACTCATTTTAATAATGAACGTCTTTGTCCACAAACCTGGAATTTGTTTCTTTAATCAGACAGTTACCCTAGACTTTATCTATTTGATTTATCTTTGTTTTCAGTCAAGGTGTAAATTTTTACCCACAATCCCCTTCAAAATTCATCCCTGATCATTTTTAATATTGATCTTTGACTACCCTGGTCCGATGCTACACGTTATGTGTCAAAAATCTATTGGTGTGAAAATACAGGCAGTCGCTCAACTGTAAAACAGGTACCCTCCAGGTATAACAGGTGTGTGTGTGTGTGTGTGTGTGTGTGTGTGTGTGTGTGTGTGTGTGTGTGTGTGTGTGTGTGTGTGTGTGCGTGTGTGTGTGTGGATGAAACAGGTGGTCAAAGGAGGGAAATAGAGCCAATCAGAGCAGAAAAAACCCAGACGATGCAGAAACCTGTTCAGGCTGATCGCAGACTGATACAAGAGGATTTCAGCTTCATACTCTGCAGCTACTTTACGTACAGACATTTGAAACAGTTGTTAATATCAAACATAAAGTGTTGATTGAAAATAAATATTTGAAGCAGCATTTTAGATCTTTCAGTTTGTGTTGATTTTGGCACCCCCTGTGAACAAACCAGGAACTACGTCAGGTGTATATTGTCTGCTATGATCACAACATAACAAAAAACAACACATGCAAAAGTGAGTCAGTGTTCACAAAACCCTTCCTGCAACCTCATTTCTGGAGATGTTTTGACCTGAGGTTAGCTTAAATTACAGACTTTTCTTTGTCTTCACCATCGTGTTTTATATCTCCAGATTTTTTTTTCATCTGTCTAGTGACATTTATTTGTATGATATAGTTCATAAAGTTTCAGTGTTTACTGCATATGTCTTCCTCATACGTCATCAGACTCCCCTGATATAAACAGAGCAAGGTTGTGGATCCTTCTATCATTAAAATTTAAACCCCAAACAGATCATTTTTGACCTCTTATTTTGGCTCCTTATTCTGCAGATGTCACTGTGCATATGTCTAGGTTTTATTGTCGATTCCCTCAAACATGTAGGAGGTGCACACAGACAAATGAAACACAAATCAGAGAAGGCAAGAGGAGAAAAGCGATGAAGGCAAGAGCTTCAGGAGGAGGACAGCGATGACAGGAGAGAGGAAAAAAGAGGGAATAGATGATGAAGTTTTTTTTTTCTTCCCTGCAGGCGGCCAGCATCACATATCAGGACATGTGATGATTGAGATAAACAGTGTTTAGACAGCAGGGCCTCCCAGCACATTAAACAACTTGACTTTAAACAGACAGCGTGAAGCTGCCCAGCATGCTGAGAGGAACCAACACACGCTCTAATGTCTTTATGTAACTGTTGGTCCTAAAACCGCAGACAGAAAACCAGAGAAACCTGAAACAACCAGACAGAACGCTCCAGACAGCGGACACAGATTCTCTGTCTCGTTTAAATATCTGAATCCTGTGGGTTACATTAATAGGACAACCACTTGTACGTAAAGTTCATATTTAAAACTTTGTTGTCCATTCATCTGCCTTTTTTACACTTGTACATCATGAAAATATCACTGAAATGTGTTTAAAATGACACAAAGATGCAAACTGCTCCTTATACCAGTCACATTACGTAAACAGGATTCACAATGTCAGTCATTATCTGAATCTGAAACTATGAGAGAAACACGCTGGTCTGATGTTAGCAATGGCTGTCAGGGAGGAGTGCAATCAGTCTACTCAGCATTTAAATGTCCTCCCCCAGTCGGCACCAGAATTGCCAGTCATATGTTGTGTAGCACAGCCTCCCACCACTAGCTAGAGCTGTAGCTTTGCTTAATGCTTATAATGCTAAATGCTCTACAGCCTGGATGTGCCCAAGCATAGATGACAGACGACCTCAGACCACAGCCTGTGCTAGCTCTGCTGATGGTAGCCATGCTTGGAAAACCAGTTTAGCGTGTTGAATAAATCCTGATCAGTGCTGACTGTTTGAGTTTTAAATCTATGGAGGTCAGATCCATCATTACTGATGCATTCAGGGAAGTCAGGAAATCTAAACTCTGTGTATACACAGACAGAAATCCCCCTCAGTTCACCAATGACAAGATTGTGTTCTTCCTGCTTTTGCTCTCCATACAGACTGATTTTCCTGCAGACACCAGCGCTTGTTTCCTGGATATTACTTAGAGTATCTACTTTCACTTGTTAACCAACTGCTGCAAATTGATGCAACATGAATACAGACATTTAAGCAATTTTTCTACCAAACTCAGTCAGCTACAAGGTTTTGACAGGGAAGCTGACGCGCTGCGGTTTTTCGAATATTGGAAGGTTTTCCTGTTCCCTCAGCTGTTCAGAGAAAACCTCCACACCTTTGTTTGCACTTATCTTCTGTATCATGGCCTCCATCATCTCTCCTCTTCCATCCCTCCATCTCGTTTCTTATGCTGTGCACACACTGACTGAAGAATTGCATTTTAAAGTTTTATGGAAGGAGCAGATGTGAATTATAGATGGTGGATGGACTCAGTGAGGCGGAGCAGCAATGCAACAAACTGCAACTGCAGTCCACTCTGCAGACTCATCAGGCTGGTCCTGTCTGTTATCAGAGGTCTTACATATTTCTATTCATATCTTAAAACATATCCCTCATGGTTTGTTTGAATACAGGTTTTCATTCTTAGAGTCTGACAGAGAGCTGGACCACAATGCAGGCCCTTCAAATGGGAACACCCCACCCCAGCATGATAAAATCATAGAAGTTGGGTGTATGTCCTGTGGTGCAGGTTTTAACAGTAGATGGTAAAGTCTGCAGAAAGGTAGGCAGGTAACCTGTCTAAAGACGATAATGCTCACAAACTGCTCTGAACTTCGAATCCTGAAGATCCAAATAAAAGAACCAAACCTCAGAGCTCAAACTGCAGCATCAAAGCAGACTAGATGTAATAAGTATATATTTTTAATTTGATTTTTATTTGATTTTACCTGAAACTACTTCGTATTACTGTAAAAGTGCTCAGTCTGCTTGCCATTCAAACCACACGCTGTGTAAAAACTCTTGGTTTGAAATGCAAAGCTGATGATGAAGAGCTGTAAACCTGCATTCTGTTTATGTTCAGCAAAGGTGACTCTACAGCTGATTTACTTCCTCTGAAAACACTTCGCTAAAGAGTTTATGGTCTCAGTCTCTAGTTTACAGTCTTCTTTTATACAGCACGATGTTCATTTAGTCACTTAAGGTCTCATTTAGAGCCACAGAGAGCAGGGGGGGCATTTCAACAGGGGACTTCTTGGATGGACCTGTTATTACTAAAGTGATCTAAAAATATCTTCTCTAATGTTAAATTACATTAACAAAAAGTCTTAGGGGGCTATCATTGGTGCCAAAAAGGTTTGCAACATCCTTAAGTGTGTTGAGTCTCTCTTTTTAGTCTGAAATTTGAATCTTTGTTTGAACTTGTTGGAAAAAGTTAAACCTGTAATGAGCTGTCTGAATTCACAGTTGATCAGTGCATCAGGCCATCAGAGGAAGTTTTCTGTTCAAACTAACAGAGGGGGCTGTCAGTGACACCAAAACTCGACTCTCAAGTCTCTCCCTGAGTTTAGAGCCACCTAAAACTTGGATGTAATTTGGTTAGTCAGTGAGCGCAGAGGGTTGCTGTCTTCCTGTTTCAAGCGCCAGTACAGTTGAATATCATCAACATAAAACAGAAAAAGGTAACTTGTACTTTTAAAAATGGACCCTAAAGTAAGCACATTAAAAGAGAATGAAGAGGACCAAGGATAGAGCCCTTGGAGGACTCCATATGGGAGAGGGGCCAAAGGCGATGAAGAGTCACTTGTGCGCACAGGAAAATCTCCTGTTATATTGATGAAATTAATGGATAAAACTTGTTTTTATTTAGGGCCAAAACTGCAGTCTAAATTTATTCACACTGACTGAGAAATTTGAATGCTTCCTTTGTGGTAGCTTAGAAATTGGCTAGCCTCTCCCTCTGCTCCAGCTTCACTCTTCAATCCAAGTACCTTCATTTTGGCTCTAAATTCAGACAACAGAAACCAAAATGCTAAAGTCCGGTAGGTCTACAAAACTACCAACCACTAAATACATCCATGTCTGAATGAGCTACGTTTTCTGAGTACCTGTAGGATTTAAACAAACGCCGATAACTTCAGATTAGAGTCCACATTTTTTCATCTGGTAACATAGAAAAAACTTTGTTGGACATGCTGGATTTGTGGCTTAAAACTCTGATGTGGAGTTTATAGAAAAGTAAAAATAAGTCAAGGTTTATTTTGGGTTCATTACATAAGAAACAATCGATTTATTTGATGATTCTATTTGTGTTTTCTTCATCAGAGATGGGTCATTGTTTATTTCATAGGTTAACAGAGGCTCTGTGAGGTCTTTTCAAAGACACTGTTAAGTGAGAGGAATTTTAAATACCATTTAATACAGACTGAGTGAACAGAGAGGATCTCTTACTGATGTATAGAGGAATCCCTCTGCGTTCATGGCCACGTACAGTCCAGCCTTCACTCCCTGGATGGCCACGACCCTCAAACCTACTGGGATCAGGTTAAACAGAGCTGGAGGGCGAAAGACAAAGACACAGAGGGAGGGAGGGAGAGAGAGAGAGAGAGAGAGAGTTACTACTGAGGTAAAAGAGCTCGAATATACCTTTAAATCAATGATAAATCACAGCAGGACAAAATCAAACTCACACCCTTTTATCAGGCAAACAAAAAGTCGATGAATTTTATCTGTGTCTCCTTCAGTCAAACCAACCAACAAAACAATCACATTAAATGCTCTCACTGTGAAGATGCAACAATAAGTGGATTAACTGCTCAGTCCAGGGACGTGTGTACACCTGAGGGTTAGGGTTAGGGGAGTGAGATTAATGAGGCTGATTAATGGCAGATAATCAGAGGAGGTCAAGTCCTGATATAGTGAGAATAATGTCTTTAGAAATTAAGGCCATGATGTCACAAAAATAAAGTCATAAATTCGGAGAATAAAGTTGTAATAAAGCTGTAACAATCTAAAGATAAAGTGAAAGTCCAATAATAATAATAATAATGCTTGGATAAATCCAGTGTTACAAGATCAAATTCTATACCCATAACAAACCAACTTTATTCTGTTCAAATCAGGACTTGAAATTTTGACTCCTTCCTCAGAACATAAAGACTTCATCTCAAAAATAACTTTTTTCTCTGAACATTAATTTATTTTTATTTTTTTTGGGGGGACAGTCACTTTCTTACAATGTAGTTTTAGAGCCATATTAAGAAAAAAAAATAAGACTGAGATTAAAGTCATTACTAACGAGAATAAAGTTGTAGGGAAAATCATTACTTATGAAAATAAAGTCGCAGTAAAATCATTACATATGAGAATTAAGTCCTGATAAAATCATTATTTACGAGAATGAAGTCATAATAAAATCATTATATACAGTATAGTTATGTCACATAATTTAGTCATGTAACATAATATTATTCCTTAGAGATAAAGGGCTCTCTTTTAATGCCTCGCCTGCGCTTTGGCACAAGTCTGATCTGCCGCGCCAATGGGGCGTGGCCAAACACATTTTGGTAGTTTGGTGAGCAGCGCGGCATGGGGCAAGTACACCTCCTCCCCATCTCAGCTCCTCCACGTGGCTTAAGTAGGAAAGAGGGAGGGGAGAAGGTGTGGAGTGGATTAAACACAGCTGAGTCCAATCTTCATCAATCACATCAGCTCCTCACCTTTAAAAGCTGATTAGGTTTGAATCAGTGATCTGTCAGCGCACTTTCTGTGCCACTGGTGGGCACTACATTTTCAGCTGATTCTGTTGACGTCCTCCCCTTCTGCTCTGCCACAAACACATTGGTGCATCTCGGTGCACCTCAGTTTACAAAATCACCAAATATGCGCTGCGCTGGGCTTTGCAGCACTAAATGAACATCGTGTGGGTTGTGCCGCCCCGCTGGCATGCCTGAAAATAGAGCCCAAAGACTAAATTCACATAACACACTGACAACTTAGTCTAATTTTATGACATCATTCTCATGACATGACTTAATCCCTGTAAACTTACTATTTTAATCAAGAGTACAATTTTATTCTTGCAATTTAGACACTTGATTTTTGTAAAATAGTCGGTATTTTCAGAGCATCACTTTATTTTCTGTCTGAGTTTATTGTTGTAGCATTAAGACTTTATTCTGATCTTATGTACCGCTTCGTTTTAGAAATATTGACTTTTTTTAGTCTTCACTGTAACCTTGACAACTGGTCCAACAAAATAACAATTACAGTCATAGACACTATAAAGAATCGGTACAGTCATATATTAAGATTACGTGGGTAAAAAGTTTCAACTAGACCTGCTGTTTGTCCTGAGAACTGTTCATATATATTTTTTTTTTTGGAGGGGGGAGTAAATATTCATTTAAAAAACAAGAGTGTGGAACTTTTGTTGGGTCGAGCTTTGTGAGTGTGCAGAAATCCTGTTTTTCTATGTTTTTTTCTGACAGTACATATTGTATATAATCTTGGGGTTTTGGACAAAAGACTTAGTTTTGTTCTGTGAAGCTGTGGTATTTTATTTCATTTAAAGGACCCTATAATCTACCAGTAATAAAAGGAGGGTTGTTTCAGCTCTTTAAACTCTGCTCCTCTCTGTGTATCTGTGTTTAAAATCTGTGCTTAAATCCAGCTCTAGTCTGCTGGATGTGACGCTGTGCTACTAGCTGATAAACGGAGAGAAAAGACACCAAATAAAAGACAGATAGAAAGAGGGGGATGGAGTGAAGGGAGGTGATTTAATCCTCGGGGACACTGAGCTGCAGTGTGGGTGAGGATGAGGAGGAGGAGGTGGAGGAGGAAGAGGCCTGTGGCGATGGTGGCTGCTGTTAATCCTCCTTTATTTAACTCAGAGACAGAGAGGATCCGAGAGAGAGTGAAGGGGGGGATCCAAAACATCTCCTCCTCTTGTCCTCCTCCCCCTCCTCCTCCTCCTCTTGTCCTCCTTTCGCTTCTTTCTGTCAAAGCAGCAGCAGAATCTGTAATCCTGAGCTCATCCGGCTGGTACCTACATGAGGCTGCAGATCTGTGGATACCAGATCCATCTGAATGTGTCCAAATGTGAACCCAATGATCAACGAAGCAAAGAGAAACACGGATATACTTTGAAGACTAAATGTTTTATATGTGCAAAGACTTTTGTAATATCAGCAGCAGATTTTCTTACTTCTGCAGCAGGTAAAGAGGCTGTAAGGCCTGCAACATAATCTTTGATGGATCAGAGAGTCCACTAAAAAGACAGAGCTTTTTATTATAGGAGGATTTTTTCCAACAGGAACAGCTGTTACATTACTTCCTGCAATCCTTTTTGTTTAGGACAACGCTATCTTCACACTTCAAAACCCCAGACCCCTCAAAAATCTTTCTCCTCAGGTAACTCATGACTTGGTGGTCTATCCCTGTTTTGATCAGATAACTTGTCCTTGTTATTATGCATTTAAATTAGGGCTTTAAAGACCCCTCTGATGAAAACTGTGTTTTTCTTGTTGTCTTCATGTTCATATGGCATTTTTCTACAGTACATATCATGAGAAAACTGAATGTGTAATTTCTTTTCTGAGTATTTCTGCATTCAAGTCCCTGTGAATCTCTGGCAGACCGTAGGTTCAGAAACAGTGAGATTTCCTACGTAGCCACTCCTAGATCCATCCCCAGAGCTCCTCGCTATGCAGGCCACACTCTGCAAATCGAGGGGAAATCGAGGGGATGATCGCAGAACAAGCGTGTGCTTTAGCGGATCGCAATGCTTGTAAGAGGGCTAATTATGATATTAGCTACTGGAGCTCTGCAGAAGAAAAGCCCTTGAAAATGACACAGGTATTGTGGTATTGGCTAAAAACTTCAGAATCACAATTTAAAAGCACTGATAACACTTTAAGTAGTAAAAAAAAAAAAAAACGAACGATCAGAGTGGGACTTTAAAACAATTCATGTTTTCAGTCACCTTTTGTTGCAGAATTTCAATCATTGTGATTAATTGCATCTTTAATCTGATGATTAAAACTTCATAATTTTGCTTTTTAAACAGTGATGTAACAGTTTGTGAAGTGATTTTTACTTAAGTTGGACATCAAATAAAAGCACGAAATGTTCTTTGGGATTTTGATTTAACTCTAAATAACTGAACATATGCTGGCATGTACAAAATGTCCTTTTGGTATCAGTATGGTGTTCAGTTATCCAGATACAATGATTTTTATTTGCTGACATCCAAGGACCCCTGGCTATTGCAACAGCCTTTGCACTCTTACACACATCCTACATGAGCTGAACTTTTCTTCCCTGTGGTGTGGTGTTATTCTAATATTATCTCACTAACTTGTTGACATCCAGGAACCCCTGGTAATCTCAACAGTATTAGGAATTTTCAGGAGTTTCAGAATGCTTGAATTGTCTGATTCATACAGGTCCCGCATGTTTTACACTAACCCTTCTCTGATAGTAAAGGGCTTTGCATACTAAGTTGTTTTTTTTTTACCTCCAAAAAGAAATATAGTTTCATGTTGAATCAAACATGTTGGTGCACAAACTTCTAAACTTTGATCTGTCTTATTTTTCAGAACAGGTTGTATGTTTTCCTGTTTTAAAGCCTGTTTCCAGGCTACAAACATTTTCATGAACTCAAAAGCAGTGCTCATGTTCAGAACTACTTAAGATACTTGGACCTTTTTTTTCCCTCATAACTATAGTCGTCTTAGCAGTTAAGGGTTTATACATACAGCTGCTTGTGCTCTTTTATGACTATAACTTCAAATACTCAGACAGCTGCAGTTCTTAAAGTTTTCTCACATTTCAGCAGGTTTAAAAATGCATTTTCAGCATTTCCACAGTTTCTGTGAAGGAAATGTGATTTTTCCATTTCTTTACGAGTTTATCAGTATTAGATGTACATACTTTAAATTACTCTGCATGTTGAGCTGTCAGTCTGACACCCTCACAGGCTTCCACATGTATGAAATACAGATTTATGTTTAAGCTTCTTGAGTCTCTTTACTTGTTTCAATCCCTTTGAATTATAAACTGTGATGCTTCTCCACGTATTGTAAAGCTTTTCATCTTTAACATGAATTACACTTCAAATCCAGCATGAAAGTTCCTGCAAGCTTCATGAATATTTACAGAGCTCATCATGGATGTAATCCCACTCATGTCGTTGTATTTAACATCCTCACATCATGATGATAGCTGCCAGGATGGACCTTCATCCTAACACACATGACTTCCTAAAGTGAGAGAGCTACAGACTCCTGGAGAAGAAGAAGGAACTCTGTAGTCTTCTTTGAAGACTTGTTTGGGTGGTCTGTGTGTGTTGGTGGAGGTGTGTCCAAGCAAAGACTCACTGTTGTCGCTGTTCTCATCTTTGTTTCCACTGATGGTTCCATCAGGCTGCATCTGCAGGTAGAAACCCTGCTCACTGAAGAGACGTGTCACGATGCCCTTCAGCTGCGGCTCTGAAACACACACACACACACACACACACACACACACACACACACACACACACACACACACACACACACACACACACACACACACACACACACACACACACACACAGGTATGAGTTTGTGTTCAGCTGCTTTGGTTGCTCCCTCTCTGTCCACTCAGAGCTCTTTCATTATTCAGCTGCAGCAGTTTGACTCAAACATCAGCTCTTCTTCACCCGCTCCTCCGTCAGCTCTCAGCTCTTCTTCACCCTCCTCACACACCTCCTGCTGTCATGCATACTGTAACACACACACACACATCTGTTTGAACATCCTCATCCTCTTTATCATCACCTCATTTTCACCCCGACCACCTCTTCTAGGTGTGTTAATGCGGGTATAAGAAGTCTGATTTAGCGTCCACCTGCAGCCTGTCGTAGGTGCTTTATCAGGTGACGCCCCTAGTATTTGTAAACAGGATGTGACAACAATCAAGCCCCTACAATAACGGAAGAGTCAATAAAATCACATACACATGGCTGCTGAAATCTTTTAGAGGAAATCTGTCAAATTATCACAGATAGAATTCACACAAACAACACCTCCGTCCATCAGCAACCACTCAGTGTCCTCAAACAAACCCTGTGAGACCACCGGGCGGCTGCCAGGTCAACCTCCCTCTCTGAGTCAGCTGGAAGTGTGAAGGAAAGGAGGAGAGACGGAAAGGAAGAGAGGAGGGAAGGAAGAGAGGAGGCTTAAGACATGAAGTGATGACAATGTGGGACAGAAGGACCGTTCCCCGGCAGAAATAGACCAAAATACAGAGGCGCTAATGTGGAGCAGGCTGCTGTGCTACTTATCAAACAGACTCACAGAAGACAGACAGACAGATGGACAGAGAGTTTCTAGAAACACAAAACAACGAAGTCACATTACTTTCCAATCTTTTGTCTTTAGCTGGTTCAGACTGGATCTTATATATTTTATCAGAGGGTAGTTTTGTTTCCACTTTGGATAACAGTCCTCTCCTAATAAAGACTGAAAGCCTCTTAAGACTCTCTATAAAAACCACAGGGCACTGCAGCAACAACTGGCAAGAGACATTTTTGCACTTAGAGCCATAAAATTGTAAGTGTACAAGTGTAAACTTTGACCGTATCAGGCAATCAAGCCCTCTAATCCTTTCCTCATCTGTTGTTATAGTGCATACGGTGTAATATCCTCTGAGCGATGTGATCCATCACAAGTCTGTCCCCACTTGTCACTTATTTAGTTCAACTTCCTTGTCTGTGAAATAACTCCAGCTGACTGTTAATTCACCTCATGCCAGTACAAGAGTTGCCTTTTTACCGTCTTCCTTGGACAGGAGTTAAAGTTTGATGATGAATCACTCTCGGTCCCAGCTGCTTTTACTGAGAGGGAAACTTGACAGTCTGACAGCGTCCAGGTCCTGAGATGATCCAGGTTCACATCACTCAGCAGTGGGTGAGAATCCTTTTAACATTTAGACCAGGTGATAAGTCCAGGTCATATCATTTCAGTCAGGTCCATGTCCATCAAAAGAATGAATTGCTTTTTTGCAATAGTTGTATAATCTGCCTTCAGCATGCTTATGAGGAGAGGCAGGGGGAGCAGCAGCCAAGACCTTAGGGTCCAGGTGACACGGAGGAGCTGGGGTGGAGGCAAGTTGTAGAGGAAGCAAGAAGAGCAGAGGCTCAGTTAGTTCACAGTCGGGCACTTTGCATCTTTACAGCCGAAGAAGTAAAAATAGATTTTGCGATATTCATAATTTGATTATTAAATCAGTCACAAGCTTTAATAGAAGTGAAGATGGGTCTGAAGATACTCACAGACTTTATTTAGATGAAGGTAAATTTGAAAGATTGACGTTCAGTTTGAAGATTTTTTCTTTTTATTCTCTGACATCTTATGAAGTTGCTGATCTTTAATCACTGCCATCAGTTTTTTTTTCTTTGAAGCAGTTATATTTATCAGAAGACTGTCACACTGTGAGGAGGAGTCAAACTCGTCTGTGAGTCTGTGAAGGAAAATCACCTCCTCACATGTTTGCTGATGAACAGGCGTGATGACACGTCCTTAAAAGCTGTGGCTTCACTTCCTGTCTGATTTGTGTGTTTTCATCTTCTCCCCACTGTCTCAGAGTTTTACTCTTCAATAACTGCATCAGCATGTCCAGATTCATTCGCACAACTATCAATAAAACCAAAACCATAGTCATAAGGACCTGATCGCTAAAGACTGCAGGTCCTCAGGGAGTATTTATGGAAGCGGTCATTTGAAGATGGTCAAAGTGAGAGCTGTTGATGGATCATGTAAACAGCTGCAGGTATTGACCCTGTGGTCGATCAATAACCAACAGACGAGTCAGAGTCAGCAGAAATGATCAACAGACAAGAAGGGCTGAAGATTTATTTCTCTCTAAATAGTTTCCACTGAAACAGATCTTTTCTGTCCTTCTGACCACTCAAAGCTTTTTTACACTTTCCTTCACATTCACACACTGATATCAGAGGCTGCTACATGTTGCTACAAGATACAAACACCCTGCTGGGAGAAGACACTGGAGTGTTAGTTTGTCCTCAAACTGTAGACCCTCAGCTCTATTCTTTGGGAGCAGCTCTTCAGAGTACAGTCGAACCTTCAGTCAGGGATTAAGGACTTCAGTTTCCTAAACTCACAGCCAAACAGTCGACTTCAGGAGTATCAATGGAGCTCAGAGCAGGCATTGTCTCACTTGACAGTCGATAGGTCCTAGGGTTGAATTGGATCTCTTTTGCTCTCAACACCCTCCGTTGTCTGGTGCCAAAAACCTTTAAAGCCTGTGTTAGTATCGAGTGCTAACCCCAGGTGCTGGAAAAAGAAGCCCCAAAACTACAGTTCCTCTTTAGTCCACTAGAGGCTGCCTCCTGCAGTGAGTCATTCCCCATAGAGCCCCATGTTAAAACCCTACAGCAGAAATGTTCTTGTTTACAGCCTGGAGCAGAAACAGTTTGGGTCTCTGGAGCTCGTTTCTTTGTTAATGACTACTGAACCAGCTGATTTTTTTAAAACATGTCTTCTTGGATTGCATTGAGGCTGTAATGTGAACATGTGGAATATAAGGCTTATTAGACTGACAGATGGTCACAATGTAGCCGTAGACCAGGACAGTTAAGGACCACCTCAGCTATGCTTGTGGCCAGCAAGCTGGAGATTTGGTGGAGACAATATCTCCAGCAGACCCTTGTAGCCTGAAATCAAAATGACGTCGAACTGAAGTCACTGTTTTAAATGCTGTTGAGAATAGGAGTAAAAGTGACACAACAGAACTAAAACTCTTGGAGTCTCGAGCTCAGAGTTAATTCAAGTCTAAACAGTGTTTCTGACCTTTTAGCCAAACAGCTGTCAGCTCGTTAGCACTCCTTAATCACTCACTACAGCCCTTATAACCATTTTGTCACTTGGCTTTTCAGACACACTAAAAGACACACCTGCCTCCTCCTGCTCTGCTTCCTGTTCTCCTCTCTCCTCCCTCTGCTCCTCTCCCTGCTCTCATCTCTCCTGCTACTGTTCTTCTCGCCTTTCTTCGCCTCCTGCTCCTCTCCCTGCTCTCCTCTCTCCACCTCCTGCCCCTCTCTCTGCTCTCCTCTCTCCTCCCTCTGCTCCTCTCTTCTCCTGCTGCTCCTCTCCCTGCTCTCCTCCTCACCTGCCTTCTCCAGTTATTCGATGCATACAGCTGTATGTATCAAAGCTCGGCTGAACCCATTTCAAATTCAGCACAAACAGAGTTAATATCAGGGGTCATTTTCAGATGCTCACTATAAAAACGTAGATTTTGAAGGATGAGGGCTTTCGTATTTTTGCTGTGGTTTTATCTTTACTGTCATTTGAATATGAACAAACTCAGATGGAGATCCTCATTTCCAGAAGGCACAGTGTTTCTTCCACCAATCTGTGACGTTCAGACATCAAAGCAGACAAAGTGCTGAGGTTGAAGTGACTCAGCAGCTGCAGAGATTTCTGTAAAAATTCTCTCTGTGTTCTCCAACTCCTCACTGAGAAGTTTTGAAGTTAAAGGAGTCTGTGGATGGAAACTGGAGAAGCTGATCAGGCAGAAGCACTGTAGTACACTTCCTTTAAGAAGCTGTTTGTTGTGTTGCCAAGAAAACATGAAGCGCTTTGCAGCAGCGGGGAGGCGGCTAACGAGAGACGCAGCTCATAAATGTGTAAATGCTGAAATCAGTCCAGTGGTCCAACTCGCTGTGTCTCCTCCTGATCCCGTCTCCTCAGCAGACTCAGGATCAGGTCCACTTTCACTTTCAATCCCACAGGAGGTTACAGACGGTTTCTCTCTTGTTTTATCAAGGAGAGGTCTCCAGAGGAAGACTCTGCTCTGACTATATCGCAGGAGGAGCCTGAGACTCTCTGCGAGCTTCTTTTTTACCTGCATTAAATATTTACGATCACTGATGAGGATTATGTAATGTTTTAGACAACTGCTGGCTGCGTTTTAGAGGATGATACCGAGGAAGCTGCAGCTCTGTGTGTGCGAACACACACGTGAGTCTTAATAAGAGCTGGAAATGTTGTTGATTCTGCAGATTTCTATCATAAAACAAAGTGTCTGACATGTCAAATGATGATATGGAGGAAGTCGGGGGGGGAAATGAATGTCTGAACCTCATTTCAACCCAATTACTCAGAGAGTGGTTGACACACCGAGCACTGTGTCCAAACTGAAACCTATTAAATATTTTAACACCCAACAGGAACGTTACACAACACAAGAAACAGGATCATGCTTTTCCTCTCTTTGCTGTGTTCTAGTCTCATCTACAATCTGACAGGCACCGAGTCTGACTCAGAGAAAAATTGAGTCTGGGGTCCTGAAGTTACTAAATCGATTTTCAGAGCTCTCAGTGTAAGAACCAAGCAGTGTCAGGGTGAGGATGCAAGTTAGCAGGAGTTTCTGGTCTACCTCTGACTGGACCTTGGAGGGTTTGTGTGGAAGAAACATCACTGATCCGAACCAACTGTTGAACTCAACCAAGTCTGACAAACCAACTGAACTCTGGGGTACTGATGGCCTAGTGGTCTAAGCGTTACAGCTGACGCAGTCACTGGTTCGAGTTCCATCCACAACCCTTGACTGCATGTCTTCTACTCCTCTCATTTTCTGTCTCTTTTTAGGTGTCCTATCTTTAAAAAACATGAAAAAGAGGATTAAATGATTATGGCGATGTGCAGCTACGCTGAGATTTACGACATGACCTGTTGTTTCTATGGAAACGGGACCAAGAAAAAGCTCACCTGGAGAAAAATTAGTGAGAAGGTCTAATTATCAACGAAGTAATAAAACACAACAAATCATTACAATGTGGTCAACCTCAGCCATGTTTAACCAAAACAGACTAAAATGGCGTGAAGGAGTCCTCTCCTCCTTAGGCACTTGCAAAACTCGAATGGAGTGAGATACTCGTGCAATGAAGTAAGTCTACACAAAATATCCAGGTTTTCAAACAAGTGTGAATTAAGCAACTAAATAATGTTTTTGTGGGTCCGGTGTGAACACGTCAGTCATGTGGACCTCAAAGTATCTGGAAAGTACAATGTGTCCCCCTTCATGTTTCCACCTCTGTGTTCAGTAAAGCTGATCAGTCAGGTTGGTTTACAATCATGTTCTCTGACTCTGTGGACCCACCTGGTTTCCGGCGTACAGGTTTTTTTTTCCCGCTGCAGAAGCGAACTTTGCTGAAGACGCTGAAGATGTGTCTCTCGCACAGAGACCGCGGGTCCTTACTCGGACTCGAGCGTCTTTTGTTTGTTGCGACTTTGTCGCTGTTGGATTCTCGCGCCTGACGCTTCTGTCGGATCAGGGAGCTGGCGATGGCCGCCGCCATCTCCCTGAGAGGCGGGCGGAGCCACCAGGGTGGAAATATCAGCCCCCGCTGTGTCTCCTACACCTGAAGACACTCCTGTTTTAGTCTGAATGAGGCAACATGTCTGAAGGTTGGAGTCCACAATGTCTGAAATGTCTCTGTATTCTTCAGCTTATCACCACTTCATGATTCAAAAGTGAGTCGTAACCTTTGGAAAAAAAACGGAAACACACATGTCTGACTTTTTTAGAGACACCTGAAGAATCTATTGATGTTTCAAAAATGACTCCAGCCTCCTCACAGACTACATTTTCTTCCTCCAGGTAAATGAGCTCTGATGATCGGACCCATCAGGACAAACTTTTTGATAAAACACTTTTTTTTTTTTACTGCACAAGTTTCCATCCTAGAGATTGTTGTTTCCTTTAGACAGCGCCACAGAGAATAAGCCATGACAAATGATGATGTGAGGCCTCTGATGAAAAACTCTCAAGTTTCCTTCGGACATACTTTCAGCTAAAGAATTCACAAACATGAGTAGAAAATATCCAAAATTATGCAGATGAGTAACTCCGGCAAAGCACCATTTAATGTTATTATAAGGAGGAAATGGTATGAAGTTTGAACAACTCCAGTTGTAAAAAAACACAAATCAAGACTTGAGCAGCCGACCTCTTCCAATGATGATGACCAATCCACAAATTAGATGATCCAGCTGAATCCAGATGTTCGAGTTCAAGTCAAAATCATCAGGTTTTAGAAGACGATAAAGGGTGAAATTGCATGCTGGGTAGTTCCCACCTCAGCATCTCCACATGACTGCAGGAGCTGCAGGGTTTTCTGGATGTGCACGAATATGAACTGAGAGCTGAAGCGTCACAATGAAAACGCGAGTGCCGCTGCAGCTTCTCCTCTCTTAGGATGTTCGCTTTGCATCGTCCATCTTCAACATCAGCAACAACAGCCCATCAACAACTTTCACAGACAGGCAGCAAACACAGCCAGAAAGAGTTAAAGAAACCCAAACGGTGATGACGAAGTTGGAAATAATCCCGCAGAGAGATTCCAGCCGAGGAGAGCGAGCAGATTACACGGCAACTCTGTTCTGCTCTGTTTTACTCTACTGCTTCATCCTCCTCCTCCTCGCAGGCTGCTGAATGTGATGAGAGGCTCAGAGAGAGAGAGAGAGAGAGAGAAAAGAGAGCATCCGTCAGTGGGCGAGCGAGCAGCAGTCAGACAGAGGAGAGAGAGAGTGATGGAGAGACGGCGATGGAGGTGTAGAAGAAGCTCCTAAAAATATGCTGCCTGATGTTTCATGATGCTCCCACATCAGACCACTCTACCTCCACTCCATCACACTGATACACACTGTGAAACACACCAGTACACACTGTGAAACACTGTAAAACAAAGAGGGACACTCCACTGCACCTCTGTGCAACACTGTTGTACTGGACCAGTAACATCTGGTTCCAGCAGCTGGTTGCATTGTTGATCCAGTTCAGACTGATCTGATATTGGGATCAGACGATCAGACTCTGGGCCCCTTTCTATATTTATTTTTTTGTCACTTTTTAAAGACCTCAACACAATCTTGTTTTCTTCATAAGGGACATTTACAGATAAAAATACAGACAGTTTCAACCCAGTCAGCTTTTAAAAACATCTCTGAAGTCAAAATCGTCCAATCGAATGCTGATGAAAACCAGCAGGACCATTTACACACACTAGGTTAAAGCATGCCAGTGTGAACCTTAAAGCATCAATAATGGATGTAGCCAGTATGGCAGGAACCTCACAGTAACGCACTACACAACAGCCAACTCATGACCCACTAAAGTGATAATACCACAGCGCAATAATTCTGCTTTGACTGATCAATTAAACAAAAATCACATGACTCCGATTTGGACCAGTATTTAATGTAGTAAGCACATTTTAATGGAAATGTTTTAGGGACAACCACACAGGTCAAAAGTTTTTCATCACTGTGGTCTGCCATCTTATCAGTAAAACCAATAACACTGACTCATTTGAGGCGTCACTACACATACTGGACATTTTAACATGGAGCTCTACGGGGATTGACTCACTTTTGGAGGCAGTCTCTAGTGGAAAACTAAGGTTTTAAGGATCATGCATGGACATCAGCTCTCAGATGCTAAAGGCTGATGATGTTTGGACGTGCTGCAGAAAATAACTTTCAGTGTGGGAGTAAAAGTTTGTGTATGCAGAACTGCTCCAGAACTCTTTGTTTCTGCCCTGATGAATTGTAAAAGGTTAGAAATCATTTTCAAAGTCTTAGTTTTATGGTGCATAGCTTTATAATTTACCACACTAACAGTTGGATTGAGAGGCAATCATCTTGATTGGTAAATCTGCAAGTTTGAGTTCCTGAGTGCAAAGTTCCTCCAGCATGAACATGATAATATTGTGCGAAAGATAAAAACATATTTGCAGTTTTAACACCAGTGCCAAACATTTCAACCTGGAGTCATGCCTTCATAGAAATCAGGCTGCATGTAAATGCCATGCCGAAATAAATTTCAAATCCTCCATCAGCCAAATAAGAGACACTCTGCTGCATCTCCTGTTACATAAATCCATTTTTCTGCCGGCTGCAGAGGATCCTCATGAACATGGATTCAGAGCTGAATAATCTGCTCCGAGATCAGCTTAGAGTGAAGAAACACTCCTTCAGCCTGTAGGTATCAACAGTATGTGACACTCTGCAATGTGTTATCATGATAATGCTGATAGAATTCAGGGCAGACATGATTCACTCTCCACCTCACAGGCTGAAGGGAGGGGGGAGCTGCACAGAAAACTGATCCCAGGTCTGTGGTCACAGGGAGTAACTCTGATAATGCCGTCTTAAACTTCTGAATTATCAGGAGTTCAAACTGCAGCAAACATCAAACTAAACTGATAAAAACATTTAAAAAGAGTTTCACATGAAGTTCGGTCTCAAATATTTGGGGTCTTTGGGATCTTGAGTGTCTCCAGCAGAGTTTTAAATAAAGTTTTGTCAGGTTAAACAAAGTTAGACTGAGCTTGGATGAGATTGAAATGATAAAACATTGTAAAAAGTGACAGTTTGTGACTTTTCCCTCCACTGCAACAGGCTCAGGGTGAAGATGACGATGATGATGAAGATGATGACTCCATGTTTGCTGTCAGTGACTCATCCTCTTCTCAGCTGATAATTGGATTATATAATAAGCTCTTCTCTGCTAATTAGACTCATCCACACTTGACTTCATCACTGCATCACATTGTCTTTGACCCCACAATTGGCCAATCACAGTGGAGTCTGAAACAGCTGGTGAGTCTTCCATCCCAGTTTGACCCTTAGTTTTGGTGGAGTGTATCCAGTCTAACCAGTGTAAATAGTAAACTCAAAGAAAGTTGGGTATTCGTATATTTAACTATTCATCTTTTTGTAAATGACAGATTTATTTCATCTTCATGAAGTTTAACCAGCAGATGCCAAGAATGATTGAGAATCAAAACAACCGCAAATTAAAGCAGCAAGCAAGAATGAACGTGCCCTCGCACCTTTGTCCACGATAGGGTTGGCAGTACAATGTACCTGTGCTGCAGCTGTGACTTTGCAGGAATACATGGTACAATCATCATGCAGCCTGCATGTTTGATCTATAAAACAGTGCAGTAGTTGCTTTTACCAGTTGGTGGAGCCATAACTTAGACAGAGTCATAATCCTACAGATTCCTAATGACAGTGCATTAACAAAGAGAGAATGCTAGTATACAGTACAGGCCAAAAGTTTGGACACACCTTTTCATTCAATGCATTTTCTTTGTTTTCATTACTATTTAAATTGTAGATTCTCAAAACTATGAATGAACACATGTGGAATCATGTGCTTAAGAAAAAAGTGTGAAATAACTGAAAACATGTTTTATATTTTAGATCCCTCAAAGTAGCCACCCTTTGCTTTTTTGATAGCGCTGCAAACTTAAGCTGTTCTCTCAATGAGCTTCATGAGGTAGTCACCTGAAATGGTTTTTACTTCACAGGAGTGCCTGAAGTAACCCTGACAAGGTACTTCTGTCATCAAGAGCAAAGGGTGGCTATTTTAAAGAAACTAGAATATAAAACATGTTTTCGGTTATTTCACCCGTTTTTTATAAGTACAAAATTCTACATGTGTTCATTCATAGTTTTAATGCCTTCAGTAATGATCTACAATGTAAATAGTCATATAAAAAAAAAAAGAAAAGACATTGAATGAGAAGGTGTGTCCAAACTTTTGGCCTGTACTGTACGTACGTAAATGGACTTCATTACTGCATGTGTTCAATGTGGCAGTATCACTATGACCAAAGTGTTCATCAAACCTGTGAAATTTGGAAGTGATTGAGTTAGAATTAGTACCATGTATCTTCACAGGGTGGCACTATTACTGAACAGAGGAACAACAAAACAGGTAAAAACTTCTTCGAGAGGAACAACCAAAGAGGCTGAGAAGTGAGCACACAAATGTGTTCAGTGGTGGACCTAAATCATGTACATGCAACTTCAAACTGATCTAACACCGTATGAAGGAGTTAAACAACTTCCTGTTTCATCAAAGTTATATACACTCCCTTTGTCCTCTTACAACTTTTAATCTTCCTCACTTTGATCTAATTGGACTAAAGTTGTTGGATGAGTTTGTTCAAACATACACCCAATAAATTCAACAGTTAAAAAAAATTGATTTTAAAATGGCCGGCTTCCTGCTGATTTTAAATACAGGTGCAAAAGGATTTATTTTGTAGGTCTTGGCATGAACCATGTCTAGCAAAAATCATGAACACAAGGTAAGCCGTGTGTCAGGCTGAATTTTTGAAAATTGAAAAGAGGAACATAGAGGCAACATAGATTTGTAGGGCTATAACTGATCTGTACTGAGAGGAAGTTTGTGTGTGGTTAAGAGTACTCTGTTTTACATTTAAGATTCGTAGGTAAATGAGTCCAGGTCCACTAAATGTTCTTGTTTTTGACTCAGGTTGTTATATTAAGAGTCTGACGACAACATTGCAGATAAGATTCCTACAGACATAGACCCTTTTTTTAAAAGAGGAAGGGGATATTTTTAACCAGAAATGGCTGTTACATCACTCTCTACAAACACACCAGACTACCTTGAAAAAAACTGTGATTTTGACTCACACAACAAGGGTGATGTTATCTACTACAGACTTTGGTGGTGAGTTGTTTGTTTTATCGTGTGTTACACAAGGACTGTCTTGCAGCTGAACTCATACAAAAGTCACACAAAAACACAAACAAACTAAATAACTGATAAAAACTGAGAGCAGCAGCTCCTGTGCCCTGAAGTGAAGAATTTGTTGTTTTGTAAACAGAGTCTGGTGGTTTTGAAGACTGCAACGTTTAATCCGCTCCAACCGAGGGGACCTGAAACTCTCCTAATAAGAGTGACTGTCTGATTGTGACATTTTAACACTTTGATGCTCTTAAACAGTAATCCTACTTATCCAATTGGTGGACCTTACAAGTCCAGCAGCCTTCATGGGAGCAGGACTACCACGGAAACATCACAAACTGCGTCTGTTTCTGTGTCCCTGCCAGAGTGTGTTGAGGATGTGTCAGTGAACGCACTGCCATGCTGAATGTAGGCCTGCTCTCCCAATAGGAGAACCAGGTCAGCGTCTTTAATTATTGTCGAGTATTTGTGTCTTTGTACCTGCTCAGTGGGACTGAAGCTGAGACTGAGAGGAGGAAAAAGACAAATATCCTCATCTTCATCACCCACTCTGATCACCAGCTGAAAAAATAAGTGTTTTCACCCATTTAGGTGTTACTAAATTTAACACCTGAATTTGTTGACCAGGACACAGAGTCTGTTCATGCTAATCAGACATTTTTCTATCCAGATGATATTTGCCTCTCATCTTTTTAAAAGCTAATAAATAGAAGACTTTTTGGGGTACAAACCCATCCAAAAAAGCCAATGTTTCATAGACATACCACATAAAAACAGAAAACTTGGTGCTGCTTTATGCAGATAATACTCAGATTTACTGTACAGCCTGTTAAAAATAACCATATTAGCCGGAATATGTGATGATACCGATTAAAAAACAACCTGCTCTTTCTGAACAAATTTCAAACAAAGATGATTGATGGTGCATGATGTCAAATGTTTGTCAATATCTAATATGCCAGTTTTTCAAAACTCAATCAGTGTTTGTACCAATATTAATACTGTATCTGTATACAGACTCAGAATAAAGGGCAGGTGTTTTTATTTCCCCAATTATGCACATTTATTAGGGTATACATCCAACCAATGATCAAGCAGGCAATCATCTTTCCATTCATCATCCATCTGTCCATCCAACCAGCCTGCCTATTTGTGGTGGAAGCAGTGGTCTAATTACGACAGCTCAATCATCAGCCCTCTAGCAACCTTTCTAATTCTTTATCTGAAGTTCTGTTCCACCTGTCCTACCGGGTCAGACAGGATATTATCCCCCTCAGCGAGTTCTGGTTCTACCTCAGGTCTCCTCTTTGTTGGAACCACCTAAACTGGTTCCATTTGACCTGAAAGAGTCTCTAAACTGAGATCATGTTGTCTCTAAGGCTGAATCCCAGTTCCCAAGTCTGCTTTAGAGTTTTTGGCCTGTTGGTTTGATAACTATCATTTAAATCAGATTAAAACATAGTTTTTCTTTTAGAGGACTAGACTACAGTTAAGCCCTGAGAATAACTGCTGAGTAATGTCAGACTGATGACTTCATGAAAACACACACACTCACGAAAACACACACTCTTACGGGGTGTTAATGAGCCGTATGATCGATTGTGATGCCGCCACTGTGGATTTCCTGTCCTTCAGTCCTGGATTCTCCCTGTAAGTGTGTGTGTGTGTGTGTGTGTGTGTGTGTGTGTGTGTGTGTGTGTGTGTGTGTGTGTGTGTGTACAGTTCAGGTATGTTTACTGATCAATAGACAAACTGCTTCATCAGAGGGCAGCAGAAAGTCAGCAGGACAGCTCCACGACCACAAGACCATTGAACTGCCATGTCACAGTCCTCCCACCAAACATCAGAGCTAACAGGGACTGATGGGACTGGTCTGAAGAGCTCTTTGTGGTATTTTTACACTTCAGTCTTTATTTCCTGTCGGAGAGTTTTCTTGTTAATTTTCATCTAAAAATTATCTTCTACTTTAAATGGTCTCTGTTAAATTCCTGCCGCTCTCTCCTCGCTGAAATCCTGCAGCTGAACCCAAAATAAATCACAAAGTGTTAAACGCAGTATCAAACAGCGGTGTGGGCGGCAGCTGGATGTTCAAACCAAACAAAGACGCTCTCTGCATGAACACGGCCTCACACGCTGAACAAAATCTAGATTATTTCACCTCTTTGTTTGATGCCGAACACATCCAGAACATATTTTTATGTAAGAATCACTCTGATGATTCATAACACTCACAAACATGTGTGGAAATAATCCCCGCAGCCTCCTCTTTAAAGGAATAATCTCACATTTTAAAAGGAGTCAGTAATTTAATAAAGGATTGGTTTTTTTTTTTTCATTAGTTTTATCTTGTGGCTTCAAAACCACCATTTTATGGCATAAAAACATAAAAGCGTTTAAAGCGTTCTATGGTTCGAACTGACAGCAGGACATAAATTCATACAGCTGATCAATCATAAAATAGGTAATAATTACATGTTAACTCTGTTTTGTGTTTGTATGAAGGGTATGAAGAGTTTAAGGGTTTAAGGAGGGAGGTTGTTCCAGCTGTCTCTGGTTAAAAGGTAAACATGTCCTGTGATTTCGACAAATTAATTCTTATAAAAATTATTTTTTAAAAATTATTTCACATCTGTTGTGTATGATAAACAGAAAAATGATTGCGTTTAAAGGGATAGCTCACAATTTTCAAGCTGAGCTGAGGCATTTGGTGCCAAAACATAAAAATTCACCATTTATCACTAAATCTGTAAGGTTAACCCTATTAAACTTGTTGTCTAGTTGTTTTAATTTTCAATACCAGTTTTAACATGAAAACTGTTTTATATTTGATTTAATTTTACATAATTCTCTCCTCTTTATGTGCCTGTTATCACATCTGCATGTCCAGAAGACCGGAGAAACACCGCCACCTAGTGGACATAAGGAGAACTGCAGCTCAGCCAACACTGCTCCTCAGTCAGCTGATCTACTGCAGAAATTTATGCCAATTAAACACACACACACACACACACACACACACACACACACACACACACACACACACACACACACACACACACACACTCATGAATGTTTGATGCTGGATGTTCTGCACTGAAACATTCATGACTCTGAAACCAGCTGCAGCTTTAAACTCGTTTACTCTGATCTGCAGTTTCACTAAACTGTCACAGGAAGGGGGCATTGTGGGTAATGTAGGCACTGGGTTTGGCAAAGAAAATGAAACGTCTCTGTAGGTTTACTGCATCAGTTTTAACCCTTTAGTTTCTATTGTAAGCCTAGAGTGTGCCAGTGAGATCAGATATTTTCCCCTTATATGATTAAAAATAGAAGCTGAACATAAGAATGGGGGCTTCTTTCAAAATCTAAACATGCAGAGTTATTGTTTGTATGTAAGAAATTGAATTTAATTCCAATTAAAATGAACATCTACGATCGGGTGATGATTTGTATTCAGGTCACAATTGCAGTTTGACAGTACCATCAATGTCCACTAGAGGGAGACAGACGTTGCTGGCTGAATCTACAGTAACAGACTCCTCCACAGATGAGTCAGAGGATTAAGTTTAAAGTTACTGATACATAAAAATTCTGACACAAGCTCAATAAATCAACAGAAAAGAAAAATCAGTGGTTAAACGATAATAACAGACATATTAAACATGTGATACCAGCCATGTATGTGACAGGATAAATATCACTCTCTCCACATTAACTCTTTGTAACTTCTCAGTTTGTTTCAGGGTTGATTTTCAGATTAATTTGAACATCAATGAACGTTAAATGACAGTTTCTGGATCATTATTTATTCAATCATTTCATATGTTACCCCTCATGAAGATGGGTGTAGTTTAAGATCCTGATATGAGTCAGTGGTCCTCTGGGAAAAGATGCACTTCCGTCAGAGAAAATGAGCTGATTTCATTCAAATTTGACATTTAATAGATTTTGTGTGTTGTATTTTAATCTCACTTCATTTTCTTGTATTTCATCAGTCACACCTGTCACCTTTTTTTTATTTGAGGAGCTGTAGTTGTAGGGAAAAGTTGGCAAAAATATCAGTCTCCTTTGAATTTGCCAATAAACATTTTATTTTACTGTTTTGTGTCCCTCATTGGTGATTCTTGACATTTGACAATTTTCCAGAAGATTCTGCACAGACATTTTTCATCACTTTGCCCCTAGACCTGACCAATCAAACTCACAGAGACAGATCAACCAAAGTTTAAGAAGCACTGTAAAAACAGTTATTGTGGCTGTTCATTTTAGCTGACTTCACGGTACGTTTGTTTTCCCGTTCATCCAGATTGATTTCAATATTAATCCCATGTTTAAAACTGTTATTTTGCATTTCAAGTCCACAAAACATTCATTACAGTATATTTGAATCTTTATAATCTCAAATCAAGACTGAGAAATAAGCAGGAGTCCATGAAAAAAATGTCAGTATCAATGCAGTGTAAAGTTATTCTGAGACAAAACCAGTTACTGATTAATATCCTAGGATCCCTGGAAAAGTATTTAATGCTTCAGCATTTGTAAGGTTGGGTCTTGGTAGTTCATCAAACAATGCGCGTGGTCCAGACCTGCTCTTTTTTTGGAAAGTGTCTTGGGACAACAACTGTTGTGATTTGGCGCTATATACAAAATTTGATTGATTGATTGATTTACACTTTCCAGGAGTTCCAGTTTTGTAGTTTTCTCTTTTTTTATTGGATTTGGTTCACAGCAGAGTCGGGCATTTAAAGACCCCAAAAGATCAGTTTGTTTTATTGGGTCACAATGTGATTCGTTATTGATCTATAATGATACTTATTTGATAACAGGAATACTCTTTAAAAATAAACTGACTAATATCTATTACAATACAATACAGGAGATCTATTTATTCCCAAAGGGAAATTCAATGTTGAAAATTAAATTATAATAAAGTATTCAAAAAGAGAGTTTGCATTAACAGTATTAGTTTAGATGAATACTTAGTTATTGCCTGTTGAACACAGACCAGTAACTTACAGTATATTATAAACTTTGGTTTAGTAAAGCTTTATCTATTTTAGCACCACAGTCAAAGAGACTGGACTAGCCCCTATACAGCAGGGAGGAAACAGAGGGATCTAATTGTGATCAGACTGTTGAGTTTGTTGGACTAACTGTTGCTCCTCTAACTCTTCCTGTTCAGGAATTTTTCATGAAACTCCCTTAAAAAACTTGCAAACCTGCTTAAAGTTGGTGATTGAAAACACTCAAAGATCCTCAGGTTCTGTGAGAGTGGATAATCGTTACGCTGCCTCTTCAGTTTTTCTTCTGTAGGATTTAAAGTGTGTAAAGGTCTCCTCACCTGCAGGATTAAAGTCTTTCACTCCCTGATTTACGTTCAGACTTGATGTAAATGCTGTTAAGATGTGAGTCTGCAGATATACGAGCAGCTGACAGAGAAGAGGAAACACACAGCTGCTCTGACAGAAATACTTCAACCTGTAAATAAATCTGAGACTTCAGCTTCAAGGTCAGACACACTCAGACTCTGACGGCCTGCTGCAGGTTATTTCAGTCTGATTCTGTTTCTCTCTCAGCTCAAGAAGCTAAAAATGTTTTTCCCTATGCTGTTGACTCGCAGCGCTCTGGAAAAATCCTAAACTTCTGCTGAGACAAGCACAAGGAGGGGGGAGGCTGAATTTACTGCAGCTATGAATATTTTCATCGTGGAGAAACTGGCAGATTATTATTTCAGACGTCATTTAAACTCATTTTGAGAGGATCTTTATTTACTGCCATTGCTATCCTAGAAAATCCCCAAATCTCCTCTTTTGTGTAGCAGATATTTGAAAACCATCCAAAGAAAATTACTTACAATCTCTTTACTTCAGTTTGGAGGTTTTTGGTCTTTTTGGATGCACATTGCAAGCACCTCGAATCAAAGTAAAGAGCACAGAGCTGAACTGTCCAGGATATCTGTGCACACACAGATTGTTAGATACAGCTGTTTTACCTTTACCAGATCCAGGAGTTGCTGGTCTACCTTTGCCTAGTTCTTAGTTTGGGATGAAATTTTACCACATAAATGTGTTCAGATCCTGACCCCTATTATTTATGGTGATTTTTGATCAGATTGGAGGCTAAAAAACTTCCTCCTGTTTTGAGGCAGAAGAACTAATTTTGACCAGGCCTTTGGAGGAAAACTAAATCTTTCTCTCTTCTAAAATAACAGTTTAAGGAGGATTGGATTGGGTCAGTGCTTTCAAAGGAGATAATGTTTAAGAAATGGTCTTAAAACAGCCATTTTTTTCAGCGTGTGCGCTATCAAGCAATCTTTTCTCACATCTACATTGAAATTCACCAACTTTTTACATTTTTCCCCTGGGCCTAACACACGTGGAGTTCAGTGAGTTTATGAGTATGTTCAGGACTTAAAAAGTCAAACTACACAAATTATTCATAATCTTCTTTGACTTCGAATACCATGACAACTACACCTATGAATCTACACCTAAACCTACACCTATAACTAAATCCTCACATAAACGTATCCTTCAACCCAAACCTACACCTCAATTCACATTTACACCAAAACTACACCTTAACCCACACCTACACCTAGACCCACAACCTACAACTAAATCCATACCTACACCTTCACTTTAATCCACACCTAGACCTACACCTACACCCACACCTTCACCTTAACCTACACCTTAATCTACATGCACCTACACATTGATCCACGCAATAATCCACACCTTCACCTACATCTTCTTCATGTCCATAATTTTTGGTCAAGTGAGCCAACAAAACACATCTGCTGTTTGTTTCCTTTCAGCCTTTTAAGGCCCCTTGTTTTGGTTTCCCAGCACATTCCCTCAGGGATACTGTTTGCACAAAAACATCATAATAAGTTGATAAAATCGCAAACCTCAGTGTTTTACAGCTGGTTTGAAGGCCCTGCTGCCCCCCAGTGGACCAAAACATGCTGCAAAGTGGTGTATAACAACATTTAGCCCCTGAACCTTTGCTGCTCTGTTTGTCGGTCAATATAAAAGAGGTTTGAGTCACAGTCTTCCTATCATAAACTACAGTGTGTGTTTTTACATACTGTGTGGTCTAAGTGAAGGATTATAGTGTCAAGTTTTATGGAGCAGCACATGAGTGTGTATAAATGTGAGTGTAAAGAGATATTGGTGAGCAGATTAAGGTGTGAGACATCAAGATCTGATCATAGACATTCACACTGTTATTTATACTCGACATTGACCCCAGAGAGGGCAAGGAGGAGGAGCGATATTTCATTGCTGTAAATAAAAAATCAAAATTCTGCTTATGATAATTTTACCTTTCTGTTTACCTTCTTGCTAATTTGACCATTATCTTCCAGTCAAATACTTTAAATAAAGTAGTTTATCCTGCAGGGGGCGCTCTGACTCATTAGGTTATAAACCTCTCAGCACTGTCTGCAGATTATGTAGCAGAAACTGGTTGAAAGTGTAAAATAACGTGAAACAGTCATTCCTAAATATAAAAAGCAGCCTTGGTACACCTTTGTAAGATTGTCTTGGATCAAATCTTCACAAAAAAAAATGTCTGTGTCATTCAAGCTGAAATATTCTGTGTATCATCTTCTGCCATGTTCATATTTAGTGAAGGTTGATTTGTCCTGGTTTTCCTTGTACTGCTTGATATCAATCCGATATCAGTATTGTATCGGGACACCCCTTGTCAAGGATTTAAACACATGGAAAGTAAATCTACTTGGTTTTCACCTCTTCTCACCTTTTGTTCAAAAATACTCGAGTCCACAGGTGACAGACGCTGGATAATAAAATACTCTGGAGTTTGAAGAAGGTCTAACATTCCCATGCTAACCTCAGTTAGATCTCTGCAGGTTTAAAAATGTTAAATCAGTGTAACCTGCAGCCTGCATGAAGGTTACGCTGACGAAAACACACGCACACACATCTACACACACGCATCACTCCGCACTGAGTCAAAATTATTTGTGTGTGTTTGCATGTCACTGAGAAAAATTTGCATGTTTCTTTGTGCTGCAAACTCTGATGTAACAAGAACATGAACCAAAACCTGTGCAAACAAACACCTGCAGGTGTGTTTGTGCAGATCTATATGATGAAAACGAACATATTCATACATCAAATCTTTGTCACTGTGGAAATATCTGCAACAGGTGGAAGATAAAACACACTTATAATATATTTTTGTGTCTGCGGTTATTTGGCACATATTCAGCAAACAAAGCCCTGTCTGAAGACGTGTCTTTGGCTCCTGCAGAGATTTATTTCATTACATTTTTGGCACAAAGACAAAAAAAACACCAACAGCTGACCTGCTTGGTGTGTTTGCTCCATCACTGATCATGGAGGGAGAAATAATTTTAAACTAAAATCACTCAGCAGCAGATTTCCTTCTCAGCCTGAGGGAGGACTCACCCTGCTGGCTGCTCTCCCTCTGAGCGCTGCCCTCCTCCTCATCTGCCTGCTCGCCCTTACTCTCCCCGGACAGCAGGCGACGGAACAGGCCGCAATATCGGGTCATCACACAGGAAAAAAACCTGACTCAGCTCTCACACCGAATCCTGAGGCACTTAGTTAATCAGTCAGAGATCGAATCAATGAGTCTGTGGCTGCAGACGACAGTCAGTCAGCTCTAAACACACTCAGAGAGGACCAGAGGAGTCATTAGACACTCAGTCTGCAGCTCCAGCAGCTCACGCCTCCACGTGACAACAGACAGCTGCTGTTTCTACAACACCGACACAGACAGAGTGGCCAAGACAGCAGGAAGAACTTTCCTGAACTGAATCAGTAAGTTTTAAGCAGCGGTGCACTCAGGATGTCTGAGTGAATAAAAAACTCTGACATTTGTGAACCACCAAAAACTTTTGAAAAAGTTCTGTGGAGAACAAAAAACATGAATTTGAGTTAGCACATTTGTTTCCACGTTAATCTCTAGAAAAGCATTTTTATTCATTGGCTTTTAACCCTGCATGAGACTCGGCTCCTGTTTTAGTGTTCTATGGTTTGTTTTTAGTTATTTGTTTCTATGTTTTTAAATTAGTTTTTAAAAACATTGAAGCTATGTTCTACTTTTAATTCTGCTTTTATTTTATCCATTGTTTTGTTTCTTGATTGCTTTTTATCTTGTTGTTTCGTCTAGTTATGTACAGCACTTTGTTCAGCTGTGGTTGTTTTAAAGTGCTCTACAAATAAAGTTGAGTTGAGTTGAGCATCGATGGGGCACCTTAATCCACTATAAATACACCAGAGGGCACTTCATTTACCTTTCTACTCTACCTACTCCAGAGCAGTCAGAGGGAACTTTATCCATGAAAAGAGTGACCAAAGGACACTTTGTTGATATCAAATCTACCAAAAAAGGCACTTTGTTTACAGTCAATCGACTTAAACAGCAGTAAGAGGGTATTTCCATAACAGAGCAACAAGAAGGCACATTCTTTATAAATTATACAAAAACAACAGCAGAGAGCACTTTAACACTAAAAGAGCAACAATAAGGTACTGTGATTGCATCTCTTTCACCAAAAAGCAAGAAGGCTCTTTGTTTACATTTTTTACGCTAGAACTGAAAGCAGAAGGCATTTCTTTTACATCTAATTTACAAAAGGGGAACAAGCAAGCACTTGAACTTGACTTCACTGAAACAATACCAGAGGGCCTTTGGATTACATTCAGTGTTTCAAAAGAGCAAGAGAGGACACCTTGGCTAGGGTTAGGCACCCACTTCATTTACATTTAGTTTCAGGCAACCAGAAGGTGCTGAGTTTTAATTTTATCTACTTAAAAAGCAACAAGAAGGAACTTTGTTCAGAATTTATCACTACATCTGAGGGCCCTCCTCCCACTGCTTTAACACACACTGAACACACCACAGACACTTAAATTTCCCAAGGCAATAAGTGTATCTGAACTCATCACTGACACTCCACTGACCAAATGTTATAACATCCACTGAAAAATCCAGATATTTCACAGCTGATTAAATCCTCCATGATTGCTGACTTTATGGTCCCAGTCTCTAACTTTGGTACCGAATCTTCAGCACCACACAGTGTTCATTAAATCATGGTCCATTCAGTGTCAAAGACACATTCGCAACATGCCAACCACACAACTATGGTCCCTCCTGGTTCAAGAAAATCCAGATGGAGAAAAAAGAAGCCTCAAAGCATAAGGTCAGTGATAATGATGATACCACAGTCCACTTATTGTCTAGCAAAATCATCTTTAAAAAGTGAAGGCCTGAGGTTGTTTGGGGCAAGTTCTGCAACATGATTTAACCCTGTTTAGGAGAAAGAAGATACAAGCCAGACCAGGACTCAGGGTCAGGACTGGGGTCATATGAGCTCCAAAAGTGCAGAGAAAAAAAAGCTTCAACTGCTACAATAATTATTCTGTTGTAAAGTTTGGTCACATTTCTGTTGTGGCATTTGATTCTATGCTGAAGCAGCAGAGGATGTGAGTAACGTCTCCTGACAGACTCTGCCGCGTCACGTCTTTAAACCTCTAAACCTTTCTGTTAATGGAGCCTGAGAGTGCTGATAGAGCTAATGGTCCTAAAGTGATGATGAATATTTCAGAGATGGAAAATTGAAATCAATACCTTAGCAGGAGATGGAGCTGTGATCACTTTAGCTTCTGTTCACTACAAAAACACATTAGTGTTGCAAATATACCTGCTGATTTTTTTGTTGTTGTTTTGTCCTTTAAATTCAGTAGAAACATGTGACCAAGTTTCTCTGCAGCATGCTTCTTCAAAAACATCCTCTGTAGTTTGATATGCGACTGTGTGGTACTGCATTATATGCACAAAAAGCAGAATTTCACTAAGAAGAGCTGAACGAGCCTGTAAACCAAAATTAGAGACATTGCAAAATAAAAATTAAAAAAACAGCAGAAATCATCTCATACTGGGCCAAAGAGGAGGAGATAAGCTGCTACACATCACTCCATATATCATACAAATGTAAGAAATAACCACAGACATCAGACCTGAGAGTCACATGTTGCTTTTTAAACTCTTATTTGCAAATCTTCCAGTCAGGCCTGGGACGTTTTTGATGATGTTTGTCTCAATTTAACTCATGCAAAAGAGTTTTCACTGAGATTCTGATTTAAAGAAACATCAAAACCAAAGGTTTTTTGATGCAGCTTTCTAATAATGTCTTAACTGAATGATAAACCGATGCGTTCTTGTTGTATTTAATGAGCTATAAAGATGTAGGATGTGCTTAATCAGATATCCATGGTGACGAAATCTGGAAAATGTTCCAGTGAAAACTACCTGTGTTATAAAAATGTTGAAAAACCTCTGCACTGCCTCCTGATCTGGAGTCTGGTCATGTACTCGTGCTGTCACAGCTCATTAACATGCGTGACTCATCATCATCATCATCATCATCACCGTGGTCTTCCTCTTTAAACAATGCTGTGATGTCACTGTGGGAAAGTTTGAGCAGGAAACACTCGACAGGTGACGCTTGTCGCTCAGACTCTCCCCTCTGTGTTGGACTGAACCGCAGACAGACGGGTGCAGTGTTTGTGTCTGAGCTGCACTGCAGAGTCAGTGCTCAGAGCCACCAGCAGGGGGCAGACTGCAGCAGCAGGAGGAAGAGGAGGAGGAGGAGGCATCAGGGTGTGACAGGAGGAGGAAGAGAGCTGCAGCAGACAGAGAGCAGCAGTGAAGGACGAAGGGTTAACTCTCTTTTGTTTCCTCCATACTGAGAGGATGTCAGCTTTTCAATTCACAATCCCTCTGTCAGAAAAGTGATTTTTTTTACACCTTCCGCTGTTGATACTCTGAGGGATCATCATTTAGGGAGTTAGCCTCTGACAGAAGAAAGGGCCAACTGGGTGCACTCCCTCTGGCTATCAAATAACACTTAATTATGTTAAGAATTTGCATTTTTAACAGTTTAGGTTGTAGAACAACTCTCACCAGTGTCCTGATCTAAGAAAAAAAATGACTGCAATCAAATGATAGAAATGATCTTGACTTTTATCATTCAATAAATGCTGCACTGCTGCACAAGTGAGGCCCAAAACCAGGAATTAGAGGCAGGAAAATGCAGCAAAGAGTTAAATCTTTTTATTTCAGGCTTCATTTTGTTTCTTCAAGTCTTTTTTTACTATTTAAAGTGTTCTCAGTGGTCTTTAAACTGTGATTATTAAGTCACATTAATTATTAATTATTAAGATTATTAAGTTTTCAGCCAAAATCACGTTACCTGTGTCATTTTCAAGGGCTTGTCTTCTGTAGAGCTCCACTAGATTATTAGCAATTCACCTCTGAGTTGTGGGCGAAGACAGTACTGCTATGTATACTCGTTTTCACACAAGCTTGTAGCCTAACATTGCCTGTGCAGTAGAAAAAGCAGGTAACATAGTAGCTATTTAGCTCTCGGACACTAATGTCTTTGGCGGTATGATGAAAGCTAATATCATAGTTTACTTTCTTACGAGCATTGCAATTCGCCAACGCACACACTTGTTCCACGATCGTCCTCTCTACATTTCTGAGTCTGGCCTGCAAGGTGGGGCTCCAGGGGCGGAGCTTGTATTTGCTACAAAGTAAATCTCACTGTGTCTGCACCAATCCCTGTTAATATAGTGTGCCACTGTTTTCATTTTATTGTGATCATTCATCCAGGGATCCCTGGTTAATGCAACAGCATCTACACTCTCCAGGAGTTCCACTTTTGGTTGCTTTCTGTAAGGCAGTAAAGCATATCACTGGTCTAAACTAGTCTAACAGTCATTATCACAGGGACTGAGGTTGACCTTGGATCTGATGTGCAGCTGAATTAATTTTGGGTTAAAAAAAATAATATTTTTTTTTCTTTTTCTGAAGATAAAATGTGATTTTGTATTGTCTGAAATCTCCCTGTGAAACACTAAAGATGTTTGTATTGAAGAATACAAATGTAATTGTGTACTCATTAATCCCGGGGTCTCAACATGCCATCCTCAAGACGTCTTAATGCAACAGCACCTGCACTTTTCAGGTGTTCCAGTTGCCTCTGTTTGATACAGATCCTCTTTACATGAAACTATTGTTACCTACAACTATAAGGCATAACACTGGTCACATCATACCAACTTTGAGACTCTTTATTATAACAACATTTGCAGTTTTAGGAGTTCTTCAGGAGACCACTTTCTCTGTGCTCAGTCTCCTGAAAAGTGCTTCATCAGCATTTGTGGTGCATTTCCACACTGTCATCAGTCTAATTAGCTGCACCTGTATGTTTAGCTCATAGGCAGTAGTTCAAACTCAAAGTGACTTTACAGCTGAGCATGTCAGGAGTTTTTCTTTAAGTGAAATGTGCTGCTCAAAAATGCACCAACACGTTTTATGTCCATGATTGAAGTGCAAAAAATTGATCCTTTATTTTTGCATGCCAGCCAAAAGACTTTTATTTTGATAGGATAACTGCTTCCTGGTTCAGGAGCTGCATACAGTAGGTTAAAGTGTGTGTGTGTGTGTGTGTGTGTGTGTGTGTGTGTGTGTGTGTGTGTGTGTGTGTTGCAGGTGAAGCTGATGGGAGTGTTAATGCAGCACCGCAGCACTCGGACATCCATTCTGTTCATCTGCAGCCACACAGCCGCATTACAACCCAGTGAGTTTGTGTGTGAGTGTGTGTGTGTGTGTGTGTGTGTGTGTGTGTGTGTGTGTGTGTGTGTGTGTGTGTGTGTGTGTGTGTGTGTGTGTGTGTGTGTGTGTGTGTGTGTGTGTGTGTGTGTGTGTAGCAGAAACCATTTAGAGAAGAGGCTCATAAATTATTGAAAGGTCTGCTGACTCCCTCTCTCTCTACATGACGATACACTTTAAGGTTAATCTTGCTTGCCCACTCCCCAATCCTCTCTTTCACTCTCTCTCTCTATCTCTCTCTAACACACAGTCCTATCTGCCGTCTCTCATCCCTTGATTCTGTCTCCATGGAGATACTCTTAAAGGAACATGCCAGGTTTCTGTAAAATGTCCCGTGTGTCAACACTAAGGTTACATTATGAGAATAAAGAGGACAGCGCCATCCATCACGGCTTCCATTAGCTCCATGCTAACACATTAGCATTGATTATAACGAGTGATGTAAGGCTTCATGCTAACACTTAGGCATTTCAGCTACTTAGGAGAGATGACGGATGTAAATTACCTTCAGCACTTAGGTGGAGTATTAGAGAGCTTTTATGACGGGATCAGAGTTAGATCACTTTTCATGTGAAGCTCTGTCTTGAAAAACCTCTTCCTTTTTATGGTGTTGCTGAATGTCACAGAAATAAAAATAAAGCATTTCAAAAATAGCCTTCTTGTCTAGAAAGTTTGACTTTAAACATCTGCATTTCAAAGAATCATGACAGCACAAGTTTCTATGGCCCTGATCCCAGAAACGTTTGGAGGGTTTTCATGATTTGCAGATAATTTAGACTGTATATTTAATGAAAGATGGAGCAAAAAGAACATAACAAATCAAATCAACAAAGACTTTTATTTATCACAATACAGACTCAGGCTGCCCAATATTGAAAGAAACTGAAATTGTGGTTTTCCTTGTCTATCATACATAACAGCAGTGTGTTAAAATACAGGAACTGATGCTGCATAAATGCATTTTTATAATTTGGATATTTAGGTCTGTTTTCTTCTTTCATAGACTTCCGTAGATCCAAACCCCCTCTCCAGCCAGTGAACAACTGTGGAGTGGACACGGAAGTGGTGACATCATATAAATACCTAGGTGTACATCTGGATAATAAGTTGGACTGGTCTAAGAATATAGACTTCATCTACAGAGAGATCTACACTGAGGAAGGTGGAGGCTTATGTTGCGTTCCAGTTGTACTCGGAAGAGCTCCAAGTCAGAAATTCATCTGGAACGCCCCCCTGACGTCAGATTTCTGACTCCAAAAGTTGGACAATCCTCGCCAACCCCGACTTGACGACAACGGCATAATTCAAGATGGCAGCGCAGTGCATCAACAGTGAAGAGTAACAGTAAAAGCTCTCGTAATGTATTATTTATTCGCACTTCTGTTTTGTTTTTGTGAAATTAAATAAGTAGTATATGTTGTACTGCCCAACGTCTAACTGTCAACACTGTCCTATGGTGTTTGTAAGAGTAAAATACTGCGTTATGCGTTGTTTACAACTGGTATAGCTAACAACAACGAACAACCACTGATAACAGCTAACAACGGCTGACAACCGCTATGACAGCTGACGATTGTAAACAACAGCTAACAATGGCTAATAGTAGGCGTCCATCTTGGAACGCCGTCAACTCGTGTGTAACGTCATTCCCAACCCTGACATCTGACTTCCAAGGAAACTGGAAGTTCTTCTTCTTCTTTTCTTCTTGTTTTTCTTCTTCTTCTTCTTCTTTTAAGCTTTATACAGCCTTATGTTACTCTTAGGCTTGGCAGTCATTAGCCAACTGTCACTCAACCATCTCTGCTATCGGGCTCAGTCTGTCCCTTTGCTTTACAAACACACATATCTGCTCTTCTCCCTGCTCTCCTCTCTCCTCCTCCTGCTCCTCTCCTTGCTCATCTCCACCATGTTGTAGATACAGCCGTTCCCACTCAGTACATTTTGCAGCATCCACAGCTTTGCTGCCCATTGATCTGAACTCCTAATAATGACTAATTTTAGCCCGACAGTGTGATGATGACCCACTGAGAAATTGCACAGTACACCATTTTTGCTGTTCCTGGCAGAAGCTCTCTCTCCTCCTCACTCTCAATAGGCTTCACTTCTCAACATGCACTAAGAGCTAGTTGAGGGGAGAGATACTAGATCAAGCAGAGATACAGAACAAGCAGAAGACAGCAGCTGATTAATAGTTTAAATATTTAACAGCTGGCTTAATATGGGAAGTTTTGTGGAGGTCTTTACCCACTTTCATACAACAGGAGAAAGATGGAAATATGTCACCTGTCTTAACAAACCAAGAAAACAGCACAGAGGACAGATAACGTGTTTAAGCCGTGCGTTATAAGAGTCAAAGGAAGGTCAAATGTGGTTGTATGAGAAAATCTTATTCTGAATATAGAAGGAACAGCCTCAAAACAACATAAACAAGCAGAAATAAGGAAGGAACATCTCCAACTAATGAGGTGAATTTACAACAGGTTAGTAACATGACTGGGTGTTAAAAGGCTGAGTCTGTCAGAAGGTAAGATGGGAAGAGGTTCACCACTCTGTGAGCGACTGTGTGAGCTGATAGTTCAACAGTGTCAGAAAAATGTTCCTGAGTGTCAAATGTGAAAGAATGAATGGATTTGATCATCTACAGAACATAACATTATTAAAAGGTTCAGAGAATCTGGAGAAATCTCTGTACTAAAGGGACAAGGACCAAAACCAAGACTGAATGGTCCTGCTCTTTAGGCCCTCACGCCTGGTTCACACAGGAAGCGCCGCGCACAGAGTCTCGGATAGGCACCCGTGTAAACCTGTGTGACTGTTCACACAGGCTCCCCCGCGCGCGGAACGGCTTGTGATCTGGAGCGCGGCCGCTCCGCTTCTCTCTATTTTTTGCGCACGCCGCAAGCGCCAATTGTAAAGCTGGACAGAGCAGATTGGACCAGACAGGAAGTCGGGAACAGGAGATGCAAGAGAATCCGGTCAATTTTCTAAATAAAATAAATTTCAATATATTAGAAAAAAAAGGATTTACAGTGTTGCTTGTCGGTCTATTTTTCTCGATGAGCACGCACACAAACACACACACACACACACACCCACACACGGAGGGAGAGTGGCAGATATTCAGTGATGTTATTGAGACAAAGGAGGGCTTTATTAGGATAGAGTCAATAGCCTCGAGCTAACAAGGCCACATGTACAATGGAGTCAACAGATTCCCCAATTCATTCGTTGTTTACCCCTGTAATATAATTTAAAAATACTTGAAGATGCTGCCAATATTTATTTATGTTTGACGCAATAAAAACATAAATGAATATTGATTTACCCATGTTTAAAGCGCTCGTAAGTGTGGAAAACTGAGGGCAGACGGAAACAGCCGAGCACTGCCGGGCTCAGTCGATGTCTGACAGGCGTGTCAGAGTGCAGCAGAAAATGCTTTGGGCTCTATTTTCGTGCCTCGCCAGCGATGCGCTGACAAGGCGTTCCCAAGCACATTTTGGTATTTTGGTGAGCGGCGCAGCCCGGCGTAAGTATCCCCCCTCCCTAACTCAGCTCCTCCCAGCAGCGTAAGTCGTAGGGAGGGAGGAGAGAGGGCGTGGAGTGGGTTTAACACAGCCGAGACCTGTATTGACCAATAACATCAGCTCCTCTCCTCGCCTTTAAATCCGCCACGGCGAGGTCAAGAGATGTCTGAAGACAGTAATGCCACATGATGGCGACAGAAGGCAGCTCCTCAACAAGTGTCACTGTAAGCGGTGCAGAGGGCGTCCTTCACACTCTCTCATATGAGCACAGATGTATTTGGTGTGTGTAAGTTTGGACCCACTAGCAAGACAAACACCCTTTTCCACAAATAAAGACACTCACATAAAGTTGCACATATTCAAACCTCACGTGACAAAGGTGGGTTGTGCGCAGAGATCGCGTCATAAATTCCAAAAATGGCATTAAAATCGGAACCATCTGTGCGTAATGACACATCGCGCTCCGTGGCCTGGCTCTGTCTTTCATAAATGTTGGCATATGAAATAAATTTTGCTCACAAAACTGAATATCATAATATTCTTATGTCGGCTTAAAGTAAATAACTCATCTGATCACTGAAACAAATCATCTTTTCAGCTGCCGCAGCAGCAGCTGCAGCAGGACGGGGAGAGGAAACGGAGACATGTCCAGGTCCAGCTGCGTGAGAAATAAGAGGAAGAGGAAGAAAGAAAAGGAGGGAGACGAATTACATATCTTGTTCACTTCATCACGTGTGCCTAAGACATTTAATTTAATTTGATGCGGTTTCAGCTGTGTTGATTTGGTCAGGTTGTGTGTCCAAACGCATGCCAAACGCGCTCATCAGATCAGATATAGATCAGAATATATCAATAGATCTAAATGTATGTGCTGACTCAGATTATTAGTTGTTGATGATTATTTATTGCACTGAAATGTGCCTGACACTGTGGAAACCTGCCGGTGAGGCATCGGTGACGTATGCCTATACGCCGCCGGTCAACCAAAATACCACTAGACCAGCTGCGCTTCGCCTGCACTGAAAGCTGACCAGGTTTGAATTGGCAAGCTTTCGGCGAGCACGAAAATGTCACTGCACCCGCTGATTCTGTCGACACCTCCCCCTGCCACGCCCAGCTTGGCGGATCTCGGTGCGCCTCAGTCCACGAAAATACCAAACTGGCTGTACGCCGGGCTCCGCCAGACGAAAATACAACTGCGCGGGGTCCGCCACCCTCCGTCACCTCACCGGCGTACACGAAAATAGAGCCCTTTATGTGTGAACAGCCAAGCATGTGCGCGTTGGTATCCTGTGTGAACCAGGCGTCAGGCAGCACTGCATTTAAAACAGACAGGACTCTGGAGTGGAAATCACTGCATGGACTCAAAATCACCTCCAGAAACCACTATCTGTGAACACAGTTCGTTACTTTATCCACAAATTAGTTTAAAACTGAACCATACAAAGGGAAACCCAGATGTTAACATCTCAAATCCAGCATCCCTGATGGTATGGGGGTCATCAGATTCCATGTCATGGGTAGCTTCTACATCTGTGAAGGCTCCATTAATGCTGAACAATATCTACTGGTTCAGGAGCAACATCTGCTGACTTCCAGACAAAGACTTTTCAGGTAAGACCTTTATATTTCAGCGAGACAATGACAAAAACCACATTCTGACAACAGGGATTACAACAGCATGGCTCTGTAGTAGAAGAGTCCTGCTGATAAACTGGCCTGACTGTAGTCCTAACTTGTT